CCTGCCTCTGGGAGGCCGCCCCGCGAGTTTGTTCAGCTGCTAGCAAATGCTGGGCCAGGCATCCACCTGGGTCCACGGGGTGGGAAGGCAGCGTCTTCATTTCCTATGACCTAACAATGTCTCCCCAAAACTTGGTGGCCCGGGACCGTGAACATTGTCTCATGGCTCCCGAGGGTGAGGAATCGTGGGGCAGCCAAGTTGGGTGGCCATGCCTGGGCTCCTCCCAGGCTCCCAGGGTGGGTCAGGCTGCACTTACTGTAGGCCCTGGTTCTTGGCCACAGGACGAGGCAGCAGGCTCCTCAGAGCAGGGATCCCAGGGAACGGACCCCAAAAGCAAGCTGTGGTTACCACCCAGCCTGAAGGATGGCTGGTTTTCCCGCCACATTTCATGGGCCACACAGGCCAGCGTGGTGCCGTGCAGGTGGGGCCACATGGCTGGGAGGCTGGCTTCCAGGAGGTGGGGGCTCTAGGGGTCCTCTGGGAGGCTGTTGCAGTCTGGAGAGGCCGGGTGACAGTGTGGCAGGAAGAGGCTGCAGGGAGCCCTGCAGACGGCCACCGTCCTGCGCATGTGGCCTGTGCTCACTGCCTCTGCCCGGGAGCTGCTCCCAAGAGCTGGGGGCGGGGCCTCTGCAGCCCCCACCCGAGTCCTGCTCTCCTCTGGGCTCAGCTTCTCTAGGAAGCCCCCTGGGCCAGCTGGCTGTGGGGCCCACGGTCTCTGGCTGCCTACGCCAGGCTTGTCTGGCTGACAAGGCCTTCGGCCTGTGGGGAACACTGTGCCTGGGCCTTGCCGTTCTTGTTCCACCTCCAGACCCGGGCGTGTGTGTCCTGGCCTTGGCATGGGGAGCTGCTCCATGTGAGGCCAGTGGCCAGGGCAGGACCACCTGCGATGTCTGGGGCTTACCCCAGTGCGGATGCCGGGCTGGCCCTTGGGAGCAGAGCCTGGGAAGTTCAGGTCCCAGAGAAGGTCCAGGGCAGTGGCAGGGCGGGGGCTGCATGGAGCACGGGTCCAGGTGGCTCCCAAGAGGAGTCTGTGTGCTGATGTTGGGGGTGGGTGTTCCCACTCCCTTTCCCACCCGCAGTCCCATGTGCCCCTGCCCATGCCTGCCCTCTCCCGCCTTCTCCTGCTGCCCTGCTGTGGGCAGCCCAGCCCTGGGGGGAGGTGGGGCGGGCTCAGGGCCACCAGCCCTGCTGACTCATTTTCCCAGCAACTGGTGTGGTGCCACCTCCCTCCCTCCTTCCAGGAGAGCCCAGACAGGAGGGGTGACAGGGCCTGTCCACCCCGGCAAGACTGGCATGTCTGCTGTGCTGGGCCCTGGAGCCGGCCCCCTTATGTGCCCACAAATGGGGCCCCACAGTGACACTGGCCATGGAGGCAGAAAATGGGTCCACTTGGCTATGCTTGTGGTATTGGGAGTCGGCTGCAGGGCCCCAGAGGTGCGGCAGCTCGTGACGGAGGAGGGACGATCTCCCATCCCGGGTGTTAGTGACCCTCGGCACGGCCCTGTGAGGGCCAGCGGCTGGACACTGTTTTCTCCCGAGATGTGGACAGAGCGTCACGCTGCCATGCCCCTCCGTTCTGGCTCAGCAGAAGCATCCCCCTCCCCCCGTCACGGGTCTCCCTCCCCAGAACCTGCAGTGGGAGCTCTCCCCGGGTCCCCTAAGTCCAAGGACCCGCTGACACAGAGTGGTGGGGACGGCTGATGTGCGCACACAGGCGGGGCCCTGCGAGGGCCCCCCAGGCTCGGTCAGCACCGCGGACAGTGGCTGTCCTTTTCCTCCTGCTGCGTCAGAACCACGGCTCACCACCGGCGAGCCTGCCCGCACCCCACATCCGCCCCCCCCTTGTGGGCCTTCCTCGCGGGCCCTGCGCGCCAACACCGACTCCCACCCCTCCCTGAATTCCCACCCTCTTCTGGGCAGGGGCAGGAGGGACTGCGGGGGTCGGGGGAGCAGCAGGTGGGCCTTCTGGCGGAAACTCCTGGCCCCCGCGAGGGCGGGACCGTGCGGGGCTGGAGGGGGCAGGGGCAATCGAGGGTCGGGGAGTCTGGAGGGTAACTGAGTCCGTGGGCGTGGGCGGCGGCCTTCCTGGGTCTCCACCTATGCAGGCATCTGGTGATTTGGATGAGAAACGGCAAAAACAGTCACTTCTCCCTCTGCTCCCCCTGCCCCGGGCAGGAGCTGCAGGTGCCCTGTGTGCGTCCCTTTGCAGACTCTCTGGGGCCGGTGGAGTTCCCAGGTGCCTGCAGAGACCGTGGCATCCATGTGGCCCCGGTGCACGCCAGCTGGAGTGGCGTGCCGTGCACCTCGCAGGCTCCGGGCTCCTCTCTGCGGGGGCCCTCGACACCTGGCCCATGGTGGACACTCAGACTGCGGCTCTCCCTGATGCGACACCGTCACCTGCGCCCAGACCCCTGTCCAGACCAAAGGGAATTTGGGTCCTACTCTGGGGGCTCCCAGGATACTGGGCGCTCCAGCAGGGTTTTTTCTGAAGGGCCACAGCCAAGAAGGGGGGGAGGTCAAGGATGAACCCCAGGAGGCCTCCACTCAGGACTCGCCCTGCAGCAGCTGGCTCCCCTCTGCCCTGGGGCTGTCCTGCGCCGGGCTCGGTCAGCACATCTCTTCCCCTGGGCGGCTGGGCAGCCGGGCAGCGGCTGGTGGTGCGGCCGCCGCATTCCCTCACGTCCCACGGTGCCTGGAGTGGCGCTCGGTGGCGACACCAACGGAGCGATTTTCTGCCTCTGGACAGCGTCCTGCCCCTTGGACGCCCGTTTATTTTCCTTTTCTGGAAGCAGGATGACATTTCTCCCCACATGTCTGCGATTCCTGCCTCCTGAGGACCGTGTGCACGGCTCTGTGAGGTGCGTCTGTGGGCGCGTCCTCCTGGCCGTGTGCCCACTACCCTGGTGCCCGAGCCACGGTTCCCAGAGTCCTTCCTGTCCAGAGACGCCCCGTCCCTCCCATCGTTCAGCGCGGGAACGGCCCAGGGCTGTGCCCACCTGAGGTCGGGAATGCAGCGACGGGCGTGCGGGCCTGGGGGGGTCTCTCGGGCTCCTGTTCCAGCTGTCTCTGGCCTGTAGCTGTCTCCTCTGGGGAGGTGTCTGGCTGCCTTGTCCGGCGTCTGTCCTGGGCCCTTCCGGACTTGGAGGAGCTTGTCTCCCATGGGGTGGCCGCGTTTGCTGCTTGTCTCCCTGGCACCCCCTGTCCTGTCAGCCTTGTCCTGGGGACCTGTCAGGCACGAGTTTTGCTTCTAACTCTGGCTGGTGCCTGTGGTCTGGGGGCTGGGCTGGGGTCAGGGAGTCCTGGGCCTCCAGCCCTGAATTACAGACAGATGCCAGCAGCACCCTCCCACTGGGCACTCTGTGCTCTTCCTGCTGCCCTGGAATCACAGGGCTTGGGGCCAGATCAAAGACAGCTGGCAAGAGGCCCTGGGGACTGCAGGCCTCCCTGGGGTGGGAGCCGGGGGCGGGGGGGCTCAGTGGGCACACCCTGCCGGAGCCCAGGAACCCATCTGTCCTTCCCTGAGTGTGCACACGACCCCCACCTGCCCTCTGGGCGAGCACGGCATCCTCTCTCGGCCAAGCTCACCGAGAGGCTGGCCCGCAGGCCCACCCACCACAGCACGGGGCAGGGGCAAGAAGCCATGCTGGGAAGGACAGCTGTGACCATGTTCCGTGGAAGGACACAGAGGCCACGTAAAATTATGGACATGTGGTCTGTTAGGGGAAGGTGTTTTCTGCACACGTGACAAGGAATTCATTTCCCATAAAAATCGAGGGGCTCTTGCAAGTTGGTAAGAATCCCCCCGACCCAGGCGAAACCCAGCAGCTGGTGAGCATGACAAAGAGGTCAAGGTCATAGTTAAAGCAGAAACAACGGGGGTCTGGGTCACCCCAGAACCACGGGGTGGGCATGTAGTCAGGGTCCCGACTTTGATGGAGTCTGGCTAACACAGCGCGGTGTCCCTCAGTGTCCACAGGAAGGGCGTCCCAGGGTTGGGGTGCGATGCCAAGGTGAATGGGGTCCCCTGGCTCCCCTTGGGCCCCCAGGTGCTGGAGGTGGCTCCAGCCATCGTGATAGCTTTCACGTGCCTGCCTAGGAATGAAAGTCACCCTGAGGATGTCAGAGTCGGGGGCCCAGGCTCAGGGATGGAGACGGGTGTTCCTAGGCCCCAGGCCACAGAGCAGTACACCCAGAGGTCTGGAGGGTGCTGGCAGTGGCCCTGGCTGCAGTGGGGGTGGGGCTGCTGGTGGCCCCAGAGGGCTTTCCCGGCCGTCGAGGGGAGGGAGGAGAGGTGGAGGCTTGGGGCCGGCGGTCGGAACTATCGCAGTGTGTTGGGCTCAGGTCCTGGAAATGGGGCCACGAGAAAGAGTGAATTCGTGTTCTGCCCCATGGGGGGAGGCCAGGGGTGGGGGGCGGCCAGGGGTGGGGGGCATGGGGCGTGGAAGGCTGGGGTGCTGCTGTCCGGGGAGCAGCCTTGGGCCCGTCCTGCTGTCCTGGAGACGGGAGTGACCAGACTCGGGGAGCCTCTGTCCAGAGACGTGCAGGCTGAAAGGAGGTTGGGGGGTCGGGCGGTAGAGGCTGAGCATCCTGGGGGGAGAGAGGGCCCTAAGGGGGCCGGGGGTGGCCCTGAGCCCGAAGACACCCTGCCAACCCCACTGGGGATGGCTGGGCAGTGGCTGAAGGCCTGGAGTTGGGGGACTCTGGGTTCCATGACCTCCAGAGCAAGGGGGTCTCAAGGAGGTCAGAGGGCTGGTCCTAGAGGCGGGGGCTGTGCTGTGGGGCAGGGACACTGCAGGACGGAGTTGTCCTGGCAGGGATCAAGGAGTGTGGGCCGCAGACGGGGGCAGGGGGGAGTCCGGCAGGAGGCGCACTGGGCTGATGGGGGTCGGGGCAGGGCTCAGAGCCCGAGTGAGGGGTGGGCGGAGGGCAGGGCGGGGAGCAGGGAGGGCCCTGCTGGTTGGGGCCCTGGCTGGGGTCTCAGGGGCTTCTCTACCCCGCAGGCCTGGTGAAGCTGGGGATTCACTGTGTCACGTGCCAGAAGGTGGCTATTAAAATCGTCAACCGGGAGAAGCTCAGCGAGTCTGTGCTGATGAAGGTGAGCCCGGGCCGTTGAGAAGCCGGGCCAGGCGGGTCCCGCCCGCTGGGCGCTACGGGGCGCGGTTGGGCGCTTTGCCCACCCGCTGCAGCTTGACTCAGGAGGGGCCCCTGCCTCTGAGCAGGGAAAGAGAACGGGAGGGTTCCCCGGGACCGTGCGGCCAGTCCCGCTTCCCATCCTCCTCCCTCCCCGGTCCCGCGAGCCCCTCACGTGGTGGAGTCTGGGCCCCTTTGGTTCCGATGCTCAGCGGGAAGGGCCTCAGGTTCCCCAACCGGCCTGCTGGCCTGTGGGGGAGGAGCAGTCAGATCTGGCCGGCAGGGGGCATGCTGCGGTGGGGGGTCCCTGTCTGCACGCCTGCCCCTGCCTTGTGGACTGTGCCTCATATGGTCTCCCAGACATCTCCCAAGGGGGCGGGTGGGGCCGGGGTGCCAGGAGGGCAGTGATGGGCTGCCTGGGGGGTGGAGGCTGATGCGGGGCTGCTGACTCGGAAGAGGACCTCGTCAGAGGGCAGGGAGGGACTCGTGTGGGCCCCACTGGGGAACCCCGGGAGCCACGCGTGGGGCAGTTGCAAGGGAAGGTGATGCTTGCTTGGATGGGAGCAGGTCGACCCTGACCTTGCCTTGGACAGCACCCGGGCCTCACGTGTTCAACTGGGGACAGTGTTCTAGATGCCCGTAAGCGCTCCAAGCCAGAGAGATGAGAGCTGGATGGCCGGGGCCTGGGGGTCTAACCGGGTCCCACTCTGCTGGAGGCCTGGCAGGGCCTGGGTGGAACGACGGGGAGGCAGCTCCTTCATGGGATGCCCCTGGGTTGGGATGGGCCAGTCCACAGGGGTGCAGACCCCGTCGCTAGGCCGGCCCTCCTCCAAGCCTCCTACTGCCCCCATCACCCCATCGAGGCATCCAGGGGGCATGGTCCGCTCGAGCCCTCTGCCTCCCCACCAGCCAGAGACCCGTGGAGGGCAGGGCAGCGGGGTGCTGGTGTCCCCCACAGCCCGGCCCCGGGGCTGCGGGTAGGAGGGGATGGGGTGGTGGGTGCGGGGAGCTGGGCAACAAGCCTGCCCCCAGCTGGACCTCTTCTCCCCATGCAGGTCGAGCGGGAGATCGCCATCCTGAAGCTCATCGAACACCCCCACGTTCTAAAGCTACACGACGTTTATGAAAACAAAAAATATTTGTAGGTATTGCCGGGTCTGGAGAGCCGGGGTGGGGCCTCGGGGAGGGCACAGGCAGCCCCCTGGGGAGGGGCCCCGGTGAGCAGGGAGCTCTCGGGAGGCTTCCACGCTCCGCGCTCCTGGCCGAGACCTCGGCAGAGCTATCAGCTTGAACCACCCAGGGGGTAGGGCTCCCTGGAGGCGGAAGCTGGCAGCCAGGGTCAAGCAGCAGGAGACCCTTGGCCCCAGCGATCTAACCCCGCAAGCCCCGAGACTCTGCCAGGGCTTCTGGGGACTCTCCCCATTCCCACAGAGCTCCCCTCTGCTCCTTCACGGGGCTGAGACCCCAGGCTGGCCGATGGCTCACCAGGCCCCTTGCCTGACCCGCTGTCCCACCCTCTCCGGGATGTCCGGCTCCCGTGATGCTGAGAGTGGCTGACCTCAGAGGCCAGCGGAAATCTCATGTCCCAGGCACACCTGGGTGGGAAAGTGGAGCCCCCCTGCCCAGATCACCAGCTGTGTGGCCTCCCTGAGCTCACCTGGGCTGTGGGTGGCGGACCCTCCCAGGGTCACAACAACGGGGCGCCCAGCCCTGTCACTACCGCTTGTGTGACCGCAGGAGGCCAGCCTGTGATGCCCAGGCCCTCGGGCGTGTTGGCACTGAGTGAGGAAACTCGAGCAGGGGAGGGGACCCTTGAGGGCTCAGCTCCAAGCCCCAGCCCCGGGGAAGCCTGGGAGCCCGCTGGCCCAGGTGGCCGTCCACAGCTCACCTGTACTGTCCTGGGCTGTGGGGTTGGGGCACAAAGCTGGCCACAGAGGGCAGCCCCGGGGGAGCAGGGAGGCTCGGGCACATGGATCGAGGACGGGCCCTCGGTCCAAACCGCGGGTGCTCCGACTAGTGACTCTGGGCCTCATCGGTGGTGTCCCCACTGTGCCAGCTGGGACCCCAGTGTTTGCGGGTAGGGTGACGGGAGCGGGCTGGTCAGTACAAGTGTGAGGTGCTGGGTGGCAAGCCCCGGTCCTGGGGTCCCTGATGCTGTGGGCAGGAGGAACCCTGCCCCCTGAGACACACTCCTGCATAACCCCCCACTGTCGGCCTGACTGGGGTCCACCTTGCAGTGTCCAGTGGCGTCCCATGGGCTTGGGGGACAGGTGTTGTTGGCCACGTGCACACACAACACGCAGGAGATGCATCACATCTCATTACTGTGGAGATCCTCGTGAGGACAGACCTGGGACGGGGGGATGACAAGCAGAGCCTTTGGCCCCAAGGAGGCCACCTTGGCGGGGGGACGGTCAGGAAGCAAGGGAGGGCCTAGTACAGCAGCCCAGTGGGGGGGAGGAGAGGCACAGCCCAGGCAAAGGCCTGGTGACAGGGACACCACGCCTAGCACGAGGGGGATTGGGTGGCCCAGCTGGGTCCTGGAGGTCCCTGCACGCTCCCTAGGACCCCCCAAGCCCAAGGCCGCCTGGGGAGCCTGCAGCTGGAGGGTAGTCAGGGGTCCCTGCCAGGGGGGGACCAGCCCAATGCCTTGTGCTTTGATCGGACCCTCCCGCTCAGGAGCGGGGTGGGACCCCCAGGATGGCCCCTTCTGCCTGAATCCGGCCTTTCCAGCCCCCTGCACTCAGTCCCCCTGCACTCCCACCCCCACCGACCCCTCCCTTCCTGCAAGCCCCCCTCTGGAGATACCCCCTTCCCAGCACCTCTGCAGGGTCCTGCAGGTGTCCGCATCCCCGCGTCTCAGGGGCCGTGCTGTGTCCCCTGCCTCGGCGTCCCTCCCTCCCTGTAGCTGCCATCACCCTGCAGCCCCCGTCAGCGGGCCAGACATGGAATGCCCTGCCCCCACCATGGCCCTGGGCCCCCCTGCCAGTGACACGATGCAGCAGAGGGGACGGCGCGAAGGGGTGGCAGAGGGGAGTGCCAGGCCTCAAGGACTGGCCCACTGTACCCTGTCGCAGCCCTTCTGGTGGCCGAGCCTCCAGCTCCTGCACCAGTCTAGGCCGCTAGGCTCTGGGGAGCCGAGACAGGGGTAGTCCCCCCCCCCCCCGCCCCGCCCCAGCCAGCTGGGCCACACCTACCTTTCCCGTCTTTCCCTGGGGACCCCTGGCCCTGCCCTGTTCTAGAGTCTTGCTCACCCCATTTAGAGGTCGGGACTACTGGCCAGGCCTCCCTGAGGGCCCGAGTATCTGAATCAGGCCCCTGCTCTGGGAGCCCGAGCTGGGTTAGCCTGGGAGGGCCTGGAACGGTCACAGCGTGGGGGTCAGCCGCCACAGTGCCCCTTAGCCAGGGGGCTGGGGATGGCCCTGAGCCTGGAATTCCCCACAGCAGAGGGCTCCCCCCACGGTGGTGCCCAAAGCAGGCCTGCCAGGAGGTGGGGAGTGGGGGCTCGTGCCGAGGGTGCTCGAGGCTGGGACAGGTGGGGGTGGCGCTGGGACCGGGGTGCCAACCTGCAGCCTCTGGCCAGTGCTGCTGTGGCTGAGTGGCCCCAGGGCAGGTGGGTCGGACCTCGTGCAGCCACCCGATGCCCACCTGTGCCCCGCAGATACCTGGTGCTAGAACACGTGTCTGGCGGGGAGCTCTTCGACTACCTTGTCAAGAAGGGGAGGCTGACCCCCAAAGAGGCCCGGAAGTTCTTCCGGCAGATCATCTCCGCACTGGACTTTTGTCACAGCCACTCTATATGGTGCGTGCCCCGACCCCCGCCAGGTGTCCCCAGCCCCGGCTAGGTGCACCTCCGTTCCCCATGAGGGACACCTTCATCCCCCACCAGGTCTCCCCACCCCCAGGTCCCCCCCACTCCCTACAGGTACCCCCACCCCCATCAGATAACCCCCCAGCAGGTACCTCTGCCCCACCCTTGTGTTCCTTCTCTGCCCCTGGAGCGGCGGCCCACGTTCTGTTTGCCCACCCCTCCAGGAGCGTCTGGAAGCTTCCGCTAGGTGTCCGCCCCAGGCTCCAGGAGCCCCTCCTCAGGTTTCTCGGGGGTCTTGGGGCCAGGCCACTCTGGATTGGGGGTCCCGGGTTGGCCCTGGTGCAGAGCACTTATGGTGGGGAGGCCCCGGGGAGTAAAGCAAAGCCTGCCCTGGGGCGGGGAGCATGTGGTGTGACCCCAGAGGGTCCCTGTTTCTCTGTTCCCGAGACCACAGCCACCAGGACGGTGACTTCCCATTGGCTGCCTGTGACATCACCAGGCTGGGCTGCCATTGGCCCCTCGCCGTGCAGATGGGCTTTTGGGGAGGGGCGGCAGCTGGGGAACTGCTCAGCCTCAACCCGGCCGCCTTCCAGCCACAGGGATCTGAAGCCGGAAAACCTGCTGCTAGACGAGAAGAACAACATCCGGGTGGCCGACTTCGGGATGGCGTCGCTGCAGGTTGGCGACAGTCTGCTGGAGACCAGCTGCGGGTGAGTGTCCGACCCGAGGCCCCCGCCCGCCCTGTCCGCGCTGCCCGTGGTCGCGGCTGCCCGACCGGGCCGGCCCGGAGCTCCAGGGCCTCTGGCTGTGCTCCCAGATTTCGCGGCCAAGTGCGATGCCGTGAAGGGACCCCACCTGGTGACCCTCCAGGCCCGCCCCCCCCAGCCCTGGGAGGCGGGTCCCACCCCAGTGGCTGCCACGTGCTCCTGTGCGCTCAGCCCTGTGGCGCTTCCTGGGACGCCCGTCTGCTTGGACCAGGGCGGCAGGCAGACCGCCTGGAGTGTGGCCGAGCCCACCCCGTGCCTCAGTCTTCCCCAGAAGCACGCCGTGGGGATTAGGTTGTGAGGGGCTCGGCCCTACCTTGAGCCTCCTGCCGGGGTCTCCTGCGTGCCTCCGGGCGTCTCCACTGGTCCTGGGGGGCAGCCCCGAGTGCGGGCGGGCTGGGGTGACCAGGGCCCACAGCAGTGCCGATCCCGGGCCTGACGGCTGCTTTGGCCCGCAGGTCCCCCCACTACGCCTGCCCCGAGGTGATCCGGGTGAGTAGCCGCCGCCCCCCGTCCCCCGCCTCGTCACCGTCTATCCAGGGGGCTTCGCCGCCGGCGCCTCGCAGCCCCCCACGCCCCGGGCCCCGGCCGACCCCCGCCCCCGGCCCCCTGCGCCCGGGGCCCCAGCGTCTCGGCGGAGGCCGGCCGCTCACCGCGTCCCCCGCTGCCGCCCGCAGGGGGAGAAGTACGACGGCCGCAAGGCGGACGTGTGGAGCTGCGGCGTCATCCTCTTCGCCCTGCTGGTGGTGAGCCCCCCGCCCCGCCCCGCCCCGCCCCGCCCCGCCCCCCCCCCCGCCCCGCCCCGCTGGTGGTGAGCCCCCCCCCCACCGCCCCGTCCCCGCCCTGCCCTGCTGGTGGTGAGCCCCCCGCCCCGCCCCGCCCCCGCCCTGCCCTGCTGGAGGTGAGCCCCCAGCCCCGCCGCGCGCCCCGTGCGCCCCTCCCGTGGTGACCGCCGTCCCCTGCCCGCAGGGGGCTCTGCCCTTCGATGACGACAACCTGCGACAGCTGCTGGAGAAGGTGAAGCGCGGCGTGTTCCACATGCCCCACTTCATCCCGCCCGACTGCCAGAGCCTGCTGCGCGGCATGATCGAGGTGGACGCCGCCCGGCGCCTCACGGTGCGTGCCGCGGCCTCCCGCTCCCTCCGACGCTGCCCCGAGCCCCTGCACGGGGCCCTGCCTGGGCTCCGTCCCCTCCCGGGCGTCTCCTCCCCGGGGCAGGACTGGCGCACGCCGGGGGCCTACCCCCTCCCCGTGCCCGTGCGGGGTGTGCACGTGTGCGCATGTGCGCGAGCACTGGGTAAGCGGGCAGTGTGCGCTGCACGGGCGTGTACCTGCGTGTACATGGGTGTGGACAGGGCTGCTGGGCCTGGCAGGGGAGCGCCTGCTGATGCCGGCCCCGTGTCCTGGGCTCTCTGGGGCCTGGTCAGTGTGAAGGGCTCCTCACGACCACTGCTCCTGGCAGGTGGGCTGGGAAGGGTCCAGGGAAGCTGGTTCTCAAAGAAGCCCCCCGCTGGCCACCTCCTGCCTCCCTGGGGCTCAGTTACAGCCAGGAGGGCCGGTCCCCAGAGCACGGCGGGGGCAGGACTCCTCTGGCTCTTCTCTCCGGGACAAGGGCGACCCAGGGCCCAAGAGGCCACCCTCACCCACCCTCCCCAACCAAGCTGTCCCCAGGGGAGCTGGGGAGAGAGCAGGGCTGGCCCCCAAGCCTCCTGCTTACACCTGCACCCAGCCCCTTCCTGTGCACAGGAGGGCCGCCCTGGCCGCTTCCCCTGCCCTCCTCCCTTGACCTCCGAGCCAGAGCCCTGAGACCCCAGAGGCCACTCTGCTTTCGTGCTCACTCCTTCTGCCACCCAGGCCTCCCAGCCTTGCCTGCAGCCCCCCGGCCCTGACCACCTTTCCTTCTCTCTCTACGTCAGCGTTCTCTCTTCCATCTGGGGTAGGCAGGGTCCAGGTGCTGGCCTGGAGCCTCCAGGAACACAGCCCCTCCCCACACTCTTCCTGCCCTGTACCCACATTGTCCCCCATGCCCTGTCCCCATCTGCCAGCCCCTTCCTCCCCTCTTCCTGTCCTCTCTCTGCACACTCCTGCGCTCCTCACTCCCTGTGCTCCATGCTCCCCCGCCCCGCCTCCTAACGTGGGCTCGTCTGTCCCTCCTCGTACTAACTCCCTGTTTCTCTTTCCTTGTAGCTAGAGCACATTCAGAAACACATATGGTATATGTAAGTAGCTTTTCCTCCCACATCACCTGCTTTGCTTGTCACCCGTCACCGTGGCCTGGAGGGCCTGCTAGGGAAGGCGGGGGGTGACCCAGCCCAGCACAGGCCTGGCCCTAGCCTCAGCCGCTCCTGGCTCTCCAGGGCCCCGGGCTGGCCTGCGCTGGGCTCAGGCAGGACGCAGGAGGCGTGCAGGGGCTGGGCACAGGGAGAGCAGTAAGACTCGGGGCCCAGGAAGGGGTGGGCCCCACCCTCCCGGCACCTCGGGGTGGGGGCAGAGGAGGCCCAGGCTGCGGAAGGGGTGGGGAGTGACCCCAAGGTGCCTGTCGTCCGCAGAGGGGGCAAGAACGAGCCGGAGCCAGAGCAGCCCATCCCCCGCAAGGTGCAGATCCGCTCGCTGCCCAGCCTGGAGGACATCGACCCCGACGTGCTGGACAGCATGCACTCGCTGGGCTGCTTCCGGGACCGCAACAAGCTTCTGCAGGACCTGCTGTCCGAGGAGTACGTCGGCAGGGGCTGCGACCTGGTCTGGGGCGGCGTGGCCGTGGGGCGGGACCGCCTCCTGGGATGGACTTGCCTATCCCTCTCGCTGCCCCCCCCGCCCCGCAGGGAGAACCAGGAGAAGATGATTTATTTCCTTCTCCTGGACCGGAAAGAAAGGTACCCGAGCCACGAGGACGAGGACCTGCCCCCCAGAAACGAAATAGGTATACGGTGGCAGGGTGGTCTGGCCCCATGCTGCCTCTCCCAGGCCCAGGCCAGGCCCTGACCCCTGTCTGCACGCAGACCCTCCCCGGAAGCGTGTGGACTCCCCGATGCTGAACCGGCACGGCAAGCGGCGGCCTGAACGCAAGTCCATGGAGGTGCTCAGCGTGACGGACGGCGGCTCCCCGGTGCCCGCGCGGAGGGCCATCGAGATGGCCCAGCATGGCCAGAGGTGCGTGCCTTCCAGGAGCTTCCAGTGCTCTGCCTCCTGGTGGCCTGGCCTGGCCGGTGTTGGCGCCCCTCGTGGGCTGTGCTGGGTCCGGCATGGCTCATCTCTGCCCCCCGGCCCCGGGGCTGCACTAAGGCCACTGGGTGGGGCCCGACGACGCTGTGCCGGGCTGCTCGGGCTGGGCTGGACTGGGCCGGACTGGGCTGGGCTGGGCTGGGCTGGACTGGGCCGGACTGGGCTGGGCTGGACTGGGCCGGACTGGGCTGGGCTGGACTGGGCCGGACTGGGCTAGACTAATCTGGTCTGGGCTGGGCTGAGCTGGACCAGGGTGAGCTGGACTGAGCTGGTATGGGCTAGACCGGGCTGCTCGGGCTGGGCTGGACTGGGCCGGGCTGGGCTGAACTGGGCTAGACTGGGACGGACTGGGTTGGGCTGAGCTGGACTGGGCTTTGCTCTGTTGGCCTGGGTTGTACGGGGCTGGTTGGGCTGGACTGGAGGGGACCGGACTTGGCTACAGTGGGGTCAGGCCGCGTTCAGAGCCACGCAGAAGGCCTGTCCCCATGTGATGCTGGCCCTGTGTTTGGGTCCCCTGTGGCAGTGTGGGAGTCAAGGACGAGGAAGGAGCCTGGACACCAGCAGGTCTGGTCTGTGCCAGCAGCGCCCCCTGGAGGAAGGAAGGGTGACCTGGTCCTGCAGAGCCTCCGCTCATTCTGGTCGGCCAAGCCGGGCCCTTGGCCAGTCCTCATCCTGGCCTTGGGCAGGGCCTGCACGGGGAGGGACCCAGTGTTCCTGCCTAGGTGGGGGCTTTCACCATACCCCTGGGACATGGAGACCCAGCTGTGGGGGTCCCAGCTCTGAGGCTGTCCCTGGTCAGCTTGGGGCCGAGCGCTGGGGACAGCTGGGCCTCTCAAGGTAGTGGCCTGGAAACGGCCACCATCAGAATAAAACTGGGCTGGTGGTTCTCAGCTCCTTCGGTGGTCCCAAGCCTCCCCTGGGGAAACAGGCTGGCTCCAGACCACCACGGCCCCTGCCCTTGGGATCTGGCACTGGAGGGGCTGGTGAGGGTGGTGGAGAAAAAGGTCTCTGCTAGCTGAGCCGCTGCCCTGACTGTGCCTCGTGTCCTGCCTGTTGTGGGCGCCCTCGACCCCAGCAGGCCCCCAGGGCGAGAGGCTGCCTCTCCCCAGCCCACCTTTCCTGAGCCTCGCCCCTGCTCTCCCGGTCGACCTCCCAGTGTGGCTGAGTGCCAACGTGGGGCCCACCGCATCCCGGCCACCCCACGTCCCTCCCTCCTTGTCTGCCCAGAGCAGGGGCCGGGCACGGGAGGCCGCCAAGCCCAGTGTCTGCTCCACCTTCCAGGCCTGGCTGCCTTGGGGCCGGAGGAGCTGGGACAGGGTCCACTGTGGACCATCCTGGCGGTCCCTGGTGAGTCCCTTCCTGCCAGCTCCTCCCACGCACCCCTGCCGCCCCAGGCCCTGCTTCTTCTTCTGGCTTGGCCGCTTGGCCCTGGGCCACAGCGGGCCGCTGGCCAGGGCTGGAGGGGTCCTCGGGCTGGTGGTGGGTGCTGGGCACCTCCAAGGCCTGGCCAGGCCCCCCGCCAGCAGGTCACCAGGGTGGGGTGCGCCATGGCCCCGGCACTCTCCTGCCCGACCTCCCCTTGTGTCCGCGTGCCTGGCCTTGGGCCAGGTAGGCCATGCCCAGCTCGTGTGGGGCTGCGCGGAGGTCCAGCCTCCCGGGCCGCCGGGTGGGGCTGCGTCAGTAACTCTGTTTTCTCACTTTGTTCCTGCTGTAGTAAAGCAGTGTTCAGTAAAAGCCTGGATATCGCTGAAGCCCACCCCCAATTCAGCAAAGAAGACAGGTATACACCCTGCCCGCCCATCCCCCACCCCCCAGCCCCAAGGACGACGCTGGGCCTGGTGGCAGGGCCGGGCCTGAGGCCCTGAGGAGGCGTGGGCTGCTGGGGCAAGGCCAGTGGCCAGCCTGACCGGGTGGGGAGACCCACTGCGCTCTCCCTGCCCGGGGACCCCCGAGAGTCTGCGGGCTGCGAGGCCTCTTCCGCGTGGCCCTGCTTCCCCTCCCCTCCTCCATGCTGTGCTGCCCACAGGGGTCAGAGCGGACGCGGCAGACCAGGGCCGTGGCAGGCTCCCCAGGAGGTGGCAGGAGGCATGACAGTTTCTTGGGTCTCTGCATGGGGCCTGGCGTTCCTGAGCCCCCCAGCCCTGTCCCTGCAGGGCCTGCTGCCCGTGGGGGACGGTGGTCGGGCCCCACCTGTTCCCCCCCGCCTGCTCCCGTACCTCTCCGTGCCCCTGCCTGCTCCCTGCTGGCCTCTCGCCGCCCACCTGCCCTGGCTGCTCTGCGCGCGGGCCCCCTCCTTTCTGTCACAGGCAGGTGCGGCCTGGTCAGACAGGACAGTGTGGAGGCGGCTCCCCACCCCTCCTCCTTCCACTGCTGCTTTTCTGGTTTCCTTGTGCCGAGTGGCGAGTGCATGGCTGGCTCAGTGGCAGGCAGGCCCCAGGCGCTGGGCCTTGCTCTTGGCGGCTGCCCGGCTGGCCTGTGGCTGCTGGGGTGGGCAACAGCCGGACCGATGGCCCCCACTCCCCTTCAGCGTCTGAAAGCTTTGGACCCAGGCCTGGCCCTGGGCACTGTCCTGGCTGTGCGCAGGCTGGGCTGGGGGACTGGGAACAAGGTCAGCGCCACACCCTGGCCCCGTGGCTGTGTCAGGTGGTGCAGTTGGAGGGTCCTTGCCATGGGGCCTGCAGAGGCCGGGGCCCTGGTCGGAGTGGGCTCAGCGCCTCCCTGAGGCCCAGGGACTGGGCCGGGGTGTGAGTGGGTGGGCGAGGGCCCTCTTGGGGCTGGGCTGCCTGGTGCGGGCAGGCCTTCACTCGTTTCCTCTTCTCTCCTGGGGCTGCCTTGCCCCCCCCACCCCGCCCCATTTTCTTCCTCGAAGGGAGGCAGGTGCCAGCACCCAGGGCTGAGCGAGCATGGTGTGCCTTTCCTGAGGCCATGTGGTACGGTGGAGTGAGGCTCCTGCCTCGCAGGGTGCCTGGTTCTTGCCCCGCCAGGTCTGTGGGCCCAGTGGGGCCAGTGGTGGACCAGGCTCGTGGTCCCAGCCAGTGCTCACCCCAGCCTGGCCTTGCCCCAGCCCTCGGGGTGCCAGTGAGGAGAGGGCTATGGGCTGGCGTGCTGTGGGCAGCTCTGGGCCGGGCAGGTGGGCCGTGAGCATGGAGGACTGGGCCAGTGCCCACTTGGTGGCCCACACGCTAGAATGGGAGACTCTGTCGAGCACAGGACTGGGGGCCTGTGACAGTTCAGCTTTGGGGGTTCTGGCCGGGCTCAGAGCACCAGGGGCTGGAGAGTGGACCTGACACAGGGGCTGGACGCAGCTCCCAGGAAGCACCCGTCTCCCCTCGTCCCTCTGTCCATCCAAGCCCCTGACAACACCCTTGCTGAGGGCTCCCTGGAGCCATCCCGGGACTGGGCCTCCTGCCTGGAGGAGAGGAGCCTGAGACGGGCATCCAGCCACCCCACTGGGCTCTGACGGGGCCCTCCCTGGTCCTGGGAGAGGCGGGGCGGGGACAGCAGGACAGTCCTGCGTGTGGCCAGGTGTGCGCAGGCCAAGGCGGCCTCAAGGCTCTCGGCCGGGGCTCCGGCCTCTCAGAGGGTCGGCCCGGGGGAGAGAAGCCGGGAGCTGCAGCCCCCCAGGCTGACCTGCCCGCACCGGTGTCCACAGGTCAAGGTCCATCAGTGGCGCTTCCTCGGGCCTGTCCACCAGCCCGCTGAGCAGCCCCCGGGTGAGCCCCCACCCCGCCCCCCAGCTCCCAGAGGCCCAGCGTGCACCGGCGGGGGGGGGCAGGGAGGCTCCCAGAGCCCGGGCTGGGCCGTGCCCCCCCACCTGCTGCCGCCCCCGTGGTTGCTTCTGCTGTGGCTAACTGCACGTTCTTTTGTTTTGTTTGTTTGTTTTCTCGTCTGTTACTTGTTTTCTTTTACGGCAAATGCTCCCACCCCCCACGCCCGCCTGTCCCCGCTGGTCCTGCCTTGGGGTCCTGCTTGAACGTTTCTTTCGGGTCCTCCTGGTGCTGTGTGTGTGCATGTGGTGGGGGGGTGGCGGGCGCTCGCATGGCGGACCCTCGGGGACCCTCGCGCTCTGCCCCCTGCCCTCCGCACCACCCTGTAGCCTGTTAGAAAGTTTGCCCTGCCCCCCCCACCCTCCGAGAGCCCCTTCGTGGCCTGCCCCCTGGCCACCTCCGCGGAGCCGGAAGCTTGCCGGAGCGCCTCTCGGCCCGGACACGTCCTCCCTCCACAGGCCGCCTCGCGGCCCAACCCCAAGACCCAGACCTTGCCGAGCAAGGCCAAGCTGACCGACAAGCCGCTGCAGGGCACCAAGTCCAACCCACTCCCGGCCGGCACCCAGGCCCGACCCCCTGTCCCGGGGGGCCTAGGCCCCCAGCTCGCCCTGCCCCCGGGCCCGCCGACCGTGCCGGCCTCTACCCGGCTCCTGGCCGCCGGGACTGAACCAAACACCAAATCTGTCCCCACCATACAGGTGACCCCTCACCCCTCTCCAAGGGGTAGTCCCCTCCCCACCCCTAAGGGGACGCCCGTGCATACGCCCAAGGAGAGCCCGGCAGGCACGCCAAACCCCACGCCCCCGTCCAGCCCCAGCGTCGGAGGGGTGCCCTGGAGGACGCGGCTCAACTCCATCAAGAACAGCTTCCTGGGGTCGCCCCGCTTCCACCGCCGGAAACTGCAGGGTCAGTGCAGGGCCGAGGGGTTGCCGCTCTGTGCTGGGCCCCAGGGAGCAGTCTGTGTCCTCTAGGCCAGCGCAGGCCCAGGCGGGGCCTCCAGATGGCTGCTCGCTCCCAGGCTTGCCCGCTGCGCATCGGGGGCCTGGTGGCTGTGGCCTTGGGGCCGCTCCCAGCTCCTGGGCTTCTCTTCAGCCCAGTGATCACTTGAGGCCAGGCTCCTTGAGCCCTGGGAGGACAGCCAGATGACAGGCAGGTGGGGGTGAGGGCCATCCGCAAGCCTGTGGGATGGGGTTGTGGGGGCAGCCCGTTGCTGAGTGCCAGGTGTCAAGGCTCCGTGGGCACTGCCAGGCCATCCGAGCCCGCAGCACAGCCGATGGGTGGGCATGGGGGCGAGTGCCATCTGTCGGGGGACAGCAGGGCCAGCTGGGGGCCAGAGCAGGCCTGGCCTGATTATAGCACCAGAGGCTGGGACAACCCCATGGCCGTAGGCTCTGGCAGGGGCAGGAGCCCGTGGGCTGGCTTGTGGGACCACAGTCACAGTGTTGGGGTTGGGGGGCGACAAGGGCAGGGCGGTCATGTCTTTTGTCCTTCCCATGTGCACAGTTCCGACACCAGAGGAGATGTCCAACCTGACCCCGGAGTCGTCTCCAGAGTAAGTGGCTGCTGCCCAAGGTTGAGGGGGAGCCCCTGGCCTCCATCCCGGTGCCCAGACACTGACGTGGCGGGGGGGCTGTGCTGGAGCCTCCCACATGGCAGGCCAGGGGGCCCTCAAGGGCTGCAGGGCGAAGCACCCCAGCCCCTCCAGGTCTCCTCTCCTCTCTCCCTGTGCCCCTGGGCTTGCCCAGGTCCCCCTTCTACCTCCCGCCTGGGACGCCTCCTCTCCAGCACCGACAGCTCTGTGTCAGACACCCGGAATGCCAGGTTAGGGAGCAGGACTCACAGTGCAGAGGGAGCTGGCTGGCCCCTCCTGGCCCTGCTCAGAAGCCACAGCCTGGGGCTGGCAGGAGGCAAGGGACGGCACAGCCATGCCTCGGCAGGGCTGGGGCTTGCCCGCTGGAGGCTCTGGCTGGCACGCCGGGGGAGCCGTGTGGACCAGAACCTGAGCCTCATGGCAGAGGTGCTCACCCTGCTCTGGGCACGGGCTCAGCCCCAGTACGGGGAGCCCGAGGAGGACCAGCCTGTGGGGTTTGCAGCGGGGCAGCCTCCAAGGAGGCCTGTGCTGGGCAGAACGGAGGTGGAATGTGGCCAGAAACTTGGGGGCTCACGGGGACGGAGCGTCTCAAGGTGAAAACTTGGCGCCGGCCGAAGAGGATGAGGAAGAGCCGTGCACTGGCCTGGCGGGAGCTCGCGTCCGGGGGAGGGTGGCGTCGTTCAAGGCCAGGAGCAGACCAGGCCCTCCGCGGACCTTCGCCAAGAGGAAGGAGCCGCCCGTGGGAGGCGGTGGGCGAGCAGAGCCACAGCCAGCCCGCGGCCAGTCTGGACAGGGAGGACTTGCTGGAGTGGCCCTGCCCGCTCTCCCCGCCCCGGCAGCGGCCTTGGTCCTGCAGCCCCGGCAAGACGACGCACACAGGAACCGCGCTGTGGATGCGGGGCAGGGCCGGCGAGGGCACAGGCAGCCTCCACAGAGTCCGCAGTCTCGTCGCCAAACGGAAGTGCCACCACGTGGCTTGCTCTGCGTGAGGCGGGCTGACTCCTGGGCTGCAACGTGTCGGGGTTAGGGATCCCATCCCACCGTTGGTGCCCCTCGGCCGGAACGTCCTGCTGTTGTCACGGCGCTCGCAGACACCCTTGTAACGGGATTGTTGGGCGTTCGGGCTGCTTAGACCCCACGCACCTGACGCCAAGTCGGTGCCCACAGCCTCCCCTCCTTCCCATCCTCCAGTCCCTCTGGAGGCCTCGCTGCCCCCACCCCCGGGGGTCCTGGCCAGCACCCACCGCGTGGCAGGTGTGGCCGATGGGACGGAGCAGGTTCGCGGTGGCCCCAGAGGCCTGTGCAGCTAATGCCTCGGCACCGCCTCCTATGGAGGACGCGCTCGCCCGCGGTGTGTCGGGGTCCGCAGGGAAGCTCCCGGGACAGCGTGTGTGCATGAGTGTGCAGGTCTGAGACCGCAGATTCAGCGGGTGCAGGTTCCGGTTCGGGTGACGTCACAGCCCTGAGTGTGACATGTGCAGGTGGGGAATTCACGCTGTGGCGTTGACTGGAACTTGGGGAAGCTGCAGCCTGTGCTCCGGAGGCCTTCACCTGCTTGGGCGAGGCCCACCACACCAGGGAGAGTGGTCTGCTTTACTCGGAGAGGCCCAGCGGCTGCCTGGATGGCCCGGCCCGCACTGAAGTTGGTTGGCACCGCCTCTCCGGCTCCTTCAGGCTTCTTCCGGGCACGGGACTGCCTATTATGCCAGGTGCCAAACTGCCAGCTCCCACACTGCAAATAAGTTGTGTTTTTGGTGCTGTTCTTTGTCAAGGGAGGAGAAGCAGAAACCCTGTATGCGGGTCCCAGAACTGCCCTTCTGCGTACTTGCTGGGCTGCAGGTGCTGGGGCACGGCGGGGAGCAGCTGGACCCAGAGCGGACAGTGGGCAGGACGGCAGGATGTGGGGAAGGAGGCAGAAGTGGCCGGTGACCAGGAGGTCCGGCAGGACATGCCTGCCCGTCGTCCCCGTCATCCCCTCTGCGCTGTTGCTGGGCCGGGATCCCTGGGCCGAGTAGAGGCTGGCTGTGGAACCGGGCACGGAAAGGGAAATCACGTGCTTGGGAAAGCCACCAAGAGGTGCCGGAGAATCTGCCCTTACGGTTCCCCCTGCCAGCGCTGATGCCCACGCCGGGGCAAGATGCTGGGCCGTGTGGGCCGAATGGGCGTGTCCATCGGCGGAGCCGTGAGATGGCCGTCAGGACATGTTGGCACTGCCACCTGGCAGATGGCACTGGGCTCAGCAGCTCTGACACCACACACTCCACATCTTGGGTTCTGTGGGTCAGGCCCTGGGCCGGCCCAGTAGGGCCCTCCACCTTATGGAGTCCGTGGGCTGTGGTCACCTCCAGGCTCAGCTGGGCCAGGACCTGTGGCCAAGCTCCTGTAGTCGTCGGTGGGATTCAGGGCCTGTTGGCTTCTGGACCAAGGGCCTCTCCATCACGATGCAGTGGAGACCAGCTAGCAAGCAGGAGACGTGGCCTCGAGTGCCATGTTCTTGGAGGTGACATCTGTCACTCATTCTGCTTAGAAGAAAGTCCTGGCCTGTCCCCGCCTCAGGGAGGGGTGTGCAGGATCACGGGGCCAGCTGAGGGCACCCATGCTAGTGTGCACAGCAGTGAGGGGTTGCAGACAGTGCTGGTCAGATGCAGATGCTGGACAGAGTAACAAGGCCGGACAGAAGACAGGACAGGAAGGGAAGCCCTGAGCACCAGTGAGGGAGGGGCTGCGTGCAGGAGGGTATACCACTGACCCGCCCAGCACAGCACTGGGCTTTGGAACAGCCTTTGTGTCCCAGACTGACCTGGGCTGGGCAGCAGGCAGCTGAATAGCCCCTGGTCCTCGAGGACGGGGTGGCCAGGGGGAGCCGAGGCTGTCCCACCAGATGGGAGGGGCATGGAGCATCCCGAGCCCTCAGGCCCCACTGTCCATGCAGGGTCTCTCCTGTCCACTTGTCCTTATGGGTGCAGAGCTCCCCCACCAGCCCCGACCCCGTACCCTGGCCTTCCGCATTCCCCCCACCCCCCAGTACAACCCCAGGGCCAGGGGGCACATTCCTCCGGGTGGCTGCAGGACTGCTGCAAATTGCCCCAAAACTTGGTGGCTGAAACAGAGAGGAGCGAGACTGGGTGTCAGGGTGTGCTCTGCTGTCCTTTCTGGTGGGTTCTGGTGGGCACTGCCCAGGCCCAGGCAGGCCTGGGGGTACGGGGCCAGGCCGAGACCGTGGGATTAGCATTAGGGCTGTAGGGTCAGGGCGGGAGGAGGCGGGGGCCAGGGCAGGAGTTGGGGCAGTAAGCTGGCCCTGCCCAGGAGGCTTGGCTGACAGCACACCCTGACGGGAGCCGCCCTCTGCCCCCTCCCCCTCCCCCAGGCTCGCCAAGAAGTCCTGGTTCGGGAACTTTATCAACCTGGAGAAGGAGGAGCAGATCTTTGTAGTCATAAAGGACAAAGCCCTGAGCTCCATCAAAGCAGACATCGTTCACGCCTTCCTATCGGTGAGCCTCCTGCCCGGCTGGGGACACGCGTCCCACATGGACACTGGCTGGAGCCAGACGGTCGCTGCACGGGCCTTGGGCTGGGGAGGGAGGCCGGCTGTCATCATGAGCAGCCCTGGCTGTGGGAGCACCAGGGATGGGGACAAGCGTGGGGGTGGGGTGGGGACAACTCACTGAGACGGAGTAAAGCACAGCCTACTCACGGCGGCGGGGACCTGGGGCCTGGACACAGGGACCTCTGCCAAGTCTGTCCCAGGGGCCTGTCTCCAGCTCCCATGCACGCTCCCCATCCCCCACCCCCCACCGGCTGCCGCCTCCTAGAGCCCCTCTGGCTCCCTGAGGCCAGGCTGTGCTCAGGCCCTGGGGGTGCTCCATTCGCGTCTGTGAGATCCTGAGCGCAAGGAACAGAAAGCCCTGAAGGTCTGCTCCCAGCGTCCTGCAGGGGGCCTGGCCCGGGGTGGGGTCCCCCCGGGATCAGAACGCCCCCCTACCGCCCCATTCAGGGCTGGGACCTGTCACGGGTTTCTTCAGACTGGCGTGGCCTCAGCCCAGGTTTCCCAAGGGCCGGGGGCCCACCTGCCGTGGTGGCCTGCTCGCCTCCATAGGGCCCCTGGTCTGGGCCTCCCTCTCCATCCGCTCCTGCGAAACCCTCCCTGGTTCAGCCTCCCGGCATGGACTGGGCCTTCCAACTGCGAGGCCAGCACAGCACTCCTGGGCTGCAGAGCCCTGGCCTGGGGTGACCCCTCCAGGGCCAGACGGCCTCCTGACTTGGTTTCAAGGGCATTTCCCCCGGCTGCTCGTACGCCAAGTGCTCAGGGGCCTCTCTGCCCATCCTGGGAGCGGCCCCTTTCCCGAGCCCACAGAGTAGCAGGTGCCACCCTTGGCAATGGCCGTGGGGTCCCCGCCTCGGAGGCCGTCACCCTGGTCCTGGCTGCTGCTTCGTGGGGCCTCCTTGACCCTGTCTCCCCCAGCCCTCTCCTCTTCCACTCTGCTCCCACGTCCCCAGCCTGCACGCAAGCCGAAAGGCAGAGGTCCCGGCCCAGTCTGCGGGGATGCAGCGGTGTGGGCGGGTGCCCCGCACTCCCACGCCGCCCTCCCGCCCGCACTCCTGCACCCCGTGCACACCCACGCCACCCTCCCTCCCACACCCACGCCGCCCGCACCCCGCACCCCCACACACCCACGCCGCCCTCCCGCCCGCAGATCCCCAGCCTCAGCCACAGCGTCATCTCCCAGACGAGCTTCCGGGCGGAGTATAAGGCGACGGGCGGCCCGGCGGTGTTCCAGAAGCCGGTCAAATTCCAAGTGGACATCACCTACACGGAGGGCGGGGCGGCGCACAAGGAGAATGGCATCTACTCCGTCACGTTCACGCTCCTGTCAGGTGAGCCGCGGGCCAGGGCACGGGCTCCGGGCACCAGCCCTGTCCTGGCCGTGACGCCCCGTTTCCCCCAGGCCCCAGCCGCCGCTTCAAGAGGGTCGTGGAGACCATTCAGACCCAGTTACTGAGCACACACGACCAGCCCTCTGCCCAGCACTTGTCAGGTGAGCTGGGGCTCAGCTCAGGCGCCCTGCGGGCTGGTGAGCAGGGGTGTGGCCCCTCTGACGTGGCCCCCCCAGGGGGCAGGGCCCTCCCCGGCGCAGTGGACCGGCCCATCTCTGCATACCCAGGGAGGTAGGGCCCAGCACACCACACTGAAAGGCGCCTCTTGTCCACTGTAGAACCCCCCCCGCCAGCGCCAGGACTAAGCTGGGGTGCTGGGCTTAAGGGCCAGAAGGTGGCCACCAGCTACGAGAGTAGCCTCTGACGCTGGCAGGTAAGGTGTCTGGCCTCGCCATAGGGGCAGGGAGGGGGCTGCGGGCAGGTCCTCTGGCGAGAGCCAGACTGACCCCCAGAAGGGCACCCCGTGCCCGCTCACACATCCAGCGGCCGCTCCCGGGCCTGGACAGGCCGCGTAGGGCCCAGCACCTAGGCTGAGCGGCCAGACATAAGCAGCCTGGTCCCAGGCCAGTGAGGGAAGGCTCCAGGAGAGCAGTGGCCAAGGTCCTGCCCGGGAGCCTGCCACCCTCGGGGCTCCCCCGGTGGTACCCTGCGAGGCTGTGGGCCCAGCGCCCACGCTGGCTGACACACGGTGGGGCCGCCTGCTGCCCGCCTTCCCAGCGACAGGCCTGTGATTGTCCGGCCATGAGTTCCCAAAGGAGGGGCTCCCCAGCTGGGCCTACAGGGGGTCACACAGGGAAAGGGTCGGCCCAGGCCTGGACGTGCTGGGGGTCCGAGGGCCTGAGAAAGCCCACACCGCTCAGCATCTGGTGGGGAGTGGGCTGTGTGCCCACTGTGGGTGGGGGTGGGTGAGCCCGAGCTTGGGCAGGCCGGGCATGTGCACGTGTCACCGTCCCTTAGCAAGGCTGTGGTTGCTGTCAGAATGTTGGGATGGCACGGCTTGCCAGGAGGCCCGTGTCAGGGTCAGGGTCTGGGGCCCGTGTCAGGGTCACCCCATCCAGCCCGAGCCTTGTCTCTGAGCATCCCCGGCACCTGGCTGGAGCCTCAGTGGGCCCCTCCTCCAGCCTGGCCCCACCTGTCCCCTCACCCCCGCCATCCTCATTTCATTGTGTGTGTTACCCTTTTCTCTCCCAACATGTGCCTCGTCACCCATGGGCAGGTCAGGGCAGGGGTGGCCCAGCAGCCTGGCCCCGGGAGCCAGGTTGGCATTGGAGGTAGGCCGTGGGGCGGGGGTGGCTCCCTGAACTTTGAAGGCCCCCATCTCAGAGCAGAGTAGGGGTGACAGAGGGAAACTGAGGCCAGGGAAGGACAGAGCTTGTCCGGTGAGGTGAGCAAAGGCCAGGGCCTGTGGCGCTGCCCAGCGGATGCCTGAGCCTGCAGCCACTGTCTGGGGGCCACAGTCTCTCTGCCCCTGGCTGGGCCATGGACAGTAACCTAGGAGGGGTCATTCTGCCCGTTAGCAGGCGTCCCTCGTGCCAAGTCCCAGGTGCAGCAGTGAAGGAGCTAACGGTGAAGTCCTAAGTGAAGTCCTAACCCCATGCCAAAGCAGGGGCCTCTGTTAGCCCTGTCCCTGCAAACTCCTGGGTACCCAATCTAGGCCCCAAGCCCGTCTCCCCTGCCCTCCTTCAGGGGCCTTAGACCTGGGAAGCCTAATCCGGGACTCCAGCCCATGCCCAGGCGCCCTCCCCAGGCCTCCTGAGGGTCTCCTTGGACTCTGGCCTTTCCCAGCACCCTCCTCCCCCCACCCCATCTGCTCTGGGTGCTCTCGTCTGGCGAGCTCAGTCCTAGAGCCGCTGTGAGCAGGGGGCAGAAGTGGGGGCCGGGCTGCTCAGCTACCAGGGCAAAACACCTGGTGGCTGCTCCAACAGGGACAGGAGGCGGAGAGGTCACCTTCCACTCAGCGGGGGCCCCTGTGAGAGCCTTGAGGGAGGAGCCCCCAGCCTAGTCCCCCGCCAGCACAAACACTCCCAGACCCAGCAGAAGGTGGGAGAGGGTCAGAGAAGGGCGAGCCGACAGGAGCTGAGGGCAGGTGGGAGCCGCCCAGCTGCCTGAGCCACACAGTGGCAGAGGGAGGACACACAGATGGCCAGAGTAGACCACAGCCAGAGCCTGGGCTTCTCAGCACCAGAACCTATGTCTGGGGCCCAGGGGAGGACAGAGGGAATGGAGGACGAGGCAGGCCCAGGGCACCCGAGGGGCAGGGCAAGGCCTGTGTTCTGGCTCTGGTGGCAGGAGGACTTTCCTCTGCCCGGAGAAGGCCCCCACTCTGCCCACATTCTGGGCGGGCCGCACCCCAGGCTCCACCCCCAGCCCCACCCCGCCCCCCGGGTCCGCTCTTTGTGGGCCCCCCACCCGCCCCCGCCCTGCTCTGGGCTCCACCCCTCCTGGTGTTGCCCCTCCCTCTGGTGGGCCGGCCCCAGCAAACCCCCTACTGGGCTATGGCCCCCCGCCCCACGCCGGGCCCCGCCCCTCCCTGGGGGCCTGGCCAGAGGCTGAGGGCAGCGCCTGGCCAGGAGTCCAGGCGGGAAGACTTTTTCACATGTCTCCCTCCCTCCTTTCTCCATTCTGTGCTCCAGACACCACTAACTGTATGGAAATGATGACGGGGAGGCTTTCCAAATGTGGTAAGAACCCCCCACACGCTCACCTGGGACCCCCCCAGCCTGTCACCCCCACCTGCAGCCTGCTCCTGGCAGGGTGCTGCCCCCACCACCCTTAGGGCCATCCTGGGGTTCCTGTGTATACGCGGGGTCCAGATGTGCACACTCGTGCCCACCCAGTCCCCCACGTCTGCCAGGAGCAGCCTCCATCACCCACCGCCCTAGGGCAGCCACAGGCCCGGCCCTAGGATCCAGGCAGGCCAGGAAGGGACCCCAAGGCTCAGAGCAGTAAAGGGTCCTCATGCTCCAGAGCTGGCAAGGGTCCTGCGTGTGGGCTCCGGCCTGGGGTCTGGGTGGACTGCAGCTCCTGAGCAGGAGGCTGGTGTAAAGCTCTCTGTGCCCTGGAGGGAGGTGACGGCGTGCGGTGCGAGCGCACCGCCGCTGGGGCCACGGGAGTCAGGTCTGACAAGCAGAGCGGAGGCCACAGGACAGCGAGAACAGGCCCACCCAGGTGGGGGTGGTCAGACCATGTCTGCCCTCTTCCTCTTGCGCTTAGGACAGTCCCTCTGGGGTCAGGGCTCCCACTCTGGCTGCCTGCCCCCGGCCCTCCCACACCCAAACCCTCCACGCCTGTCCACCCATCCGTCCATCTGTCTGTCTGCTGCTGACCTCTGTGTCCATGCGGTGCTGCCTGGGCTGGCCAGGGGCCGGGCTCCAAGCCTCCGGGGAGGAGTGTGGCGGGCGCGCTGGCTGCAGTCTCCCCAGCCCAGGGACGGCTCCCCGGCCGCACGCACGGAGCCGGCCTGGGGGCCCAGGCTCCTGCTCAGCCCTGCGGCGTGTGGGCGCGGTGGTTCCTCCGCCGCGGGGTCCGCCGAGGGACCGGCCGGCCCGGCCTGCCCGGGGTGGGGGAGGGGAGGGGCCCGGCCCGGGGAGGGAGGAGGGGATCCTTCCGCGCGCCCGCCCCGCCCGCCGCCCGCCCGCCCGCCCGCCCGGCCGGCCGCGCCTCGCTCGTGGGCCCGGCCCCGGCGGCGACCGCGGGTTCACGCGTGTGTTCTCTCTCCCCTCCCCCCTCTTCTGTTTCTCTCCTTCTGTTCTGTGCACCCAGGCAGCCCATTGAGTAGCTTCTTTGACGTAATTAAACAACTTTTTTCAGACGAGAAGAACGGGCAGGCGGCCCCGGCCCCCAGCACGGCCGCCAAGCCGAGTGCCCACGGCCCCCTCGGTGACGCCGCGGCCGCCGGCCCGGGCCCTGGAGGGGACGCCGCGTGCCCGCCGGCCCCGGACCCGGCCCGGACGGCGCCGCCCGCCGCCCGCCGCGAGCAGCCTTAGCCCCGTAGCCGCTGCCCCCGCCGGCCGCCCGGGGTGGAGAGGAAAGGGGGCACGGGGGCCACCGCCCGCGCCGCCGCGCCCGCGCTTTCTCTCTCCCGCTGTCTCTGTCTCTGCCTGTCTCTGACGCGGCCACTGTTTCCGCTCTGATACCAGGAACTGTCCCGAAAACTTAACATGTCACCTCCACGAGGCCGTCCTCGGGGCTCCGCGCCGGACACCGGCTGACCGAAGGCAGCTGCCGCGGACCCGCCCTCCCTCGTCTCCTGCTGCCGCCGCCGCCCCGCCCCGCGGCCCCGCCCCCGCGGCGAGGCCCCGCCCCTCCGCGCGCCGGCCCCGCCCCCGCGGCGAGGCCCCGCCCCCTCCGCGCGCCGGCCGGCGTGGCGGCTCCGCCCGGGCTCGGCTCCGGACCCGCGGGGACCCACCCCCGCCCCCTCCGCCGCGCGGCAGGCCCAGGCCGGCGTCCGGGGCAGGGCAGCGTCGGTCGGCCAGTCCGCCCGCGTCCGCCCCACACCCCCCCCCCGCCCCGCCGCCGCCCCTCCCGCCGCTCGCTCGCGTCCGCCGCCCCCGCCCCCCGCTCGCCTGGGGCTGCCGCGTGCGTTCGCGCTTGGCGACCCTTCCCGGCCCGAGTGGACACGGACCCTGGAGGCCCCGGAGCCACCTGCCTGCGCCAGGGCCGGCCGAGACCAGTATTATTTATTTGCTGCGTTAACTTATTGAGTCCCTTACTCCTCCGTTCAGGGAAGGGGCAGCGGCCGTCGGTCTGTCTGCGTGTCTAGGGCCGGGTGGGGGCCGCGGCGCCCGGAGGCTGGAGCCGGCAGAGAGCCCGGGGGGCGGCGGCGGGGGCAGGCCGGCGGGGGCAGCGCCCGCGAGCTACTGTAAACTTTAAAGAATTCCTGCAAGATATTTTTATAAACTTTTTTTTCTTGGTTGTTTTTGGAAAAGGGTGTGGGGGTGGGGGGAGCCGCTGGGGCAGGGCCAGGTTTTGTGTTCGGGTCTTTCTATATACATGCACATATATATTTAAGGAACGGCGCGGTTCGCTCTGTCCCATGTTCGGTCCCGTCCCTGCGCAGAAACGACTCCAGCCCCACGGGGGCCGGGGGCGCCGTCGGGGAGCGGGATGGCACCGCCCAGGGGCGCGCGGCCCGGCACAGGCTGGGGACCATCTGGGTTTTGTGGCTGAGAGTGCGGGTAGCAGGAAGGCCCTGAGCTGGCTCCCACACACAGGACAGCAGAGGCACCGCAGGGTTTTTTTACTAAAATGACAAAAAGTTAAAAAAAAAAAAAGGAAAAAGTAAAAGAAAGTTAGCGGCACTATCCGCAGTGTGTGTTCTCTGTACACAGCGAGGTGGTGGGATGCGGCCGCCTCGCTTCGTCCTGTCCCCAGCTTCTGCTGCTTTGTGTTGGTGGGTCCGGTCCCTCCAGGCTGGCGCCGACCCCGTGTGTTGCGAGCGCCCGGGGGGGCCGGGCTGCCCTCGGGAGGCGCCGGGTGACGGGGGCCCCGCCGGCAGGTTCCAATTGCATGCCTTTGCGGTATCGAGTCCACTTTGCTTTTGGTGTCTCCTCCGCCTCCCTCCCCACCCTGCCTCCCCCCTTGTGGATCGCTTTTAATGCTTCTGTTACGCCGACCCCCACCACAGGCTGGGACTCAGTACACAGACACACACCCACAGCAGCATAAGCCACGCGGTACAAGCGGGAGGGGCTTCTCCAGAGACAGAAGACACCGAAAGCAATACCTCTTGTCAGCCTTCCTCTTTTGTACTCGGGACACACGCAGACGTCACGGAAACGAACAAGCCCCACCCAGTGTACCCCTGTCAAATAACTGTGAGCACCCTTAGTTCAAGAACAATAAATTCCTTCAGTAAAAACACCCGACGCGTCTCCGTCCAGGCGGGTGGGGCCGGGATATGGGGCGAATGGGACCAGCTCTTGTCCCCAACACACTCTTCTGGGCTCTGCCGGGTGTGGATGACGCTCGATGCCACCTTCTGCCCCGGATGAAGAGGACAGACCCCCATGCAGGGTCAGGGCTCTGCCTCCAGACTCAGTAGGCATCGTGGGCCGGGCTGGAGGTGGGGAAGGTCCCCAGGGAGGGGGCACAGGGAGGCACCGCCCTGCCTGCCCCTGCAGGTCTGCTGTCATACTCCACAGACCTTGTGGGGTCAGCTGGCATCTAGAGAATGAACCTTCCTCCCGCCCTTGCTTGGTAAGAGGCGGATGGGGTGCTATGACGCAGCCCTGGAGGTGATGGGCTGGAGAATTTGGGCCAGCCTCTTCCACAGAGGGCAAAGTTCCCAGCCGTGCCCACCGTGCCCGCCAGCCATGTAGGCAGCATGACCGTGCACTGACCAGCCACTCCTCTGCTGCTGCAGCATGAAGGACAAGTCCAGACCTCCAGGAGCCCCAGGGTCACCCAGCCCCATGTCACACAGGAGCACCTGGGAGTCCGCCTACCACACAGCCGTGAGGACAGGCGAGCAGCAGCAAACCATGCCACCCGCCTCCCTCACAGGCCCTGTCTGCCCCTGCGTGAAGGCGACCAGGCCCAGCATGGCCACTGGGCTTGGCAGTAGGGCCTGACTGCACCCGGCTGTCTGTCCCGAGCAGGGTCCCGCCACCACAGCGCTGATCGGTGGGGCTGAATGGCTCTGGGGCAGGGGCCGACCTGTGCCCTGTAGGGCATCAGCAGCATCTCTGCCCGCCGCCCAACTAGATGCCCATAGCGCCCCCAGCCCTACGTGACAACTATTCCCGATGTTGCCATGTGTCCCCTGGTGGACAGAACCCTCCCTAGAGTCCACACTCTTACCTCCTGTGCCATCTTGCTGGAGGACAGTGCTGCCCGGACTCCCGCTAAGCTTGGCAGCTCGGTGGCAACGGCAGCGGCCTCCAGCTCTGCTCCAGGCCTGGGGCGGGAGGAAGAGTCTGGGGACGTGGAACTGGGTGGGCTCTTCCAGGGCTGTAGAGCAGCCCTCTGTTTCTCTGGGTGGGCGCCCAGAAGGTACTGCAGAGGGCAGAGGGGATGGGATCCACTGGGGTCCCTGAACCGTGCGGTGCCCTGTGAGCTGGAGGAGGGGATCTGGTGGGCTGGTCACGGAGCTGCCGGGGTCCTGGCTGCTGGCGCGGGAGAGGCTCCCTGACCAGTGGTCGTGCACCTGCGTCTGACACAGACCTCGCCTTCTGCTACTCGGCCTTCTGCAAACACTGGCAACGTGTCGGCCTTAAGGGGCCGCAGGGCAGGAATCCTCAAAGCGCATCTCGGTGTAGCCCACAGATTTGCCAGCCTCTACCTGTCGCCATCACGCCCCTTGGGCAGGAAGGCCCCGCCCCGCAATCCCACTTCGGACACCAAGCTGTCTCTTGGTTGTGAGAAACAGAAACCAAGGCAAGTGAAGCCAAAAACTGTTGGTGTTAATAACACCCACTAACGTGTATTATGTATAAAATAACAACCTGAGAACTCCGTGACAGCCACTGTCCTGAGCACTTTACCCTGAGCCAGTCCTCACGGTATTTCTGGAAGGCAGAAACGGAAACGGGTACTTAACCCAGAATGGCATGCTGGTGGGTCTAGCACCCCGTGAGGGGACGGCCTCTAGGACTGACGTGTTCTCAGGCCCTGGCATGTTTTGGGTGCCGGCCACTGCTGGCCTGGGGTACTGGGAACAAACCAGTGGTTGCGTGTCTACCAGCGTCACGGAGGAAGGCAGTGGAGGAAGGTGACGGCACGCATGCCCACCCTGGGGGGCCGAGTGCCACAGGCGGCAGAAGCAGGGTGGACACACACACGAGGGGCACGTGCCCAAGTTCTCAGCTGGCAGTGGAGGCAGAGGGCCCTGCCAGCTCTGAGCTGAGGGGGAGCGACTGCTGGTGCCACGAGGCCGGCTTTGGGCAGGGCTACTGCAGCACCTGCCGCTCACACTTGTCCCATGCCAGGGAGCTCAGCACCAGAAGCGGCCTGGCCCTCGCTGGGTGGTGGTTCTGCCTCCCCATCCTGCCCTCCCCCTTTCCCTGTGGCTCAGGGCCCAGTCCCCTCTGTCCTCACCCCAGGTCACCAGGGGTGGGATCACCAAGTCCAGTGTCCCCCGTCCCCTGGCTTTTCCTCCCCATTCATCCCCCCCGTCCTTCGTCCAGCCCACTCCCCACCACCAGCCTGAACTTCTTCCGGTGCGATTCATCAAGGCTGGAGGTGAGCAGGGAGCAGAGGGGAAGGCCAGTGGCCGAGAGCGTCAGGGCAGTGACGTGGAGGAGAAAGCAGCTGGGATGGAGGCACGCGAGGGAGGGAGCACCTCCGGCCCGGGGAGTGGCTGGCCTCGGGCTCAGGTGGGACAGCAGAGTCTGTGCTGCTGGTCCCAGGCCCAGGAGCTGCTAATGCTTGCCGAACCCCTCCTGGGGTCAGCCCCTGGGCTGAGTGTCTTCACGGGTCGTGTCCTGCGCCCCCAGAATCACCCCACGAGAGCTCTGTGGCTTGTCCTCAAGACGTGTTCACTTCCGGTTGCTGCTCTAACAAAGCAGATGTAACGCACAGATTGTCCTCTTGAGTTCTGGCTGCCAAGGACTGGGTCTCAAGGGGCTAAAGTCACCATGTTGGCAGGGCCGGTTCCCTCTGGAGGCTCTGGGGGAGAACCCGCATCCTGGCCCTTCCCGGTCTCCGGAGGCACCCACGTTCCTTGGCGTGGGGCCTTCCTCCGGCCTCACAGCCCAGGACGTTGGGCCGAGTGCTCCTGTCGCCTCTGGTTCCCCTTCTGCCCCTCCTCCGGCTTTAAGGAGCCTGGTGACGACACCCGCCCTAATCCTTCTGGCATTTCAAGTTAAACTGATGAGCAACTTAGACTCCGCTCTGCGTGTCAGGTGCGGTGCTCACAGATCCGGGGAACTAGGGTGCGGACACTTGGAGGGGGGCATTATTCTGTCCGCGCGGACTGGCCTCTAGCAAGTTCCCATTCATCTTGCGTGGAAAACGCACTCCCGCCGAGCCGGGATCCCCACACAGCAGCATCAGGTCGAGCCCCAGAGGTCACCTAAGTCACCTCAATCAGGTGTGGGTGAGACTCCGAGTCCGATCCCTCCCAGTGCAAAGTCCTTTCCTTTGACAGTAGAAGCGCCACGCGCTTCCAGGATGCGACGGTGACAGCCGTTCCCATGCCCAAAGGGAGACAAGCGAGGGAGGTGGGCATCACCGGTCCCAGGCAACTTCACAGTCCGGCCAGGCAAGCGCCATGAGGGCCGCCAAGGCCTGGGAAGAACCGTGTGGCTGCAGGCTCTCCCCTCCGGGCCATGCTTTCTTCTAAGGAAGTTCACCAAGGGACCCGGGCATCCCAGCTGGCAGGGTCTCCGATGGCGTGAGACCCCCAAGGACGATGTGGGTCTCCTGTGTGTGTCACGGGGATTTGCTCCGTAAGGCCAGACGGGCCTCCAGATCCTTACAGGAAAATCGTCTTCTGTTCTGGCTTTTGCGAAAATGCACGGGGTGTCTCCTAGTCACACGTGCCATCCCCTCGGGGCGTCTGTGCTACTGAGCGCACTGAGCTCATGCGGCTTCCTGACCGGTGACGGCCTCGACCTGCTCTCTAGAGCACACTCTTTCTGACAGTGAACCTCCATTTTGGCGTTTTCTGCCACTTGGCTTGGCCAGGAAGCTCCCATGTCGCTCCGGGTCAGGTCCCTTTTGTTCCCGAGCTCTGTCTTCCAGTGGGCTTCCCGTCCCGCTCCTTGCCTGCGCACCCGGGTGGACGCTCCCGAGTTCTGCCCTCTGAGAGCCGGGGGCAGAGCTCAGCGGGGCTTTCCGCCACGTGACCCTGCACATCAAGGGTCCCCTTTCCTCTGCGCCCATGGACACGGTCGTCACTCCCCTGGGCCCTGCCCTCAGGGCCCGTCCCATTCCTGCTTCTGCACAGGTGCTGGCTACGGTTTCAGGCATCCCTCAGGGGCCTCTGCTAGGTCCCCTCCGCGCCGCCCCGTGTCTAGGAGTCTTTGCTCGCGGCGTCACCAACACCCCGTACTTCCTCCTACCGATCAGCTGCTTCAGGAAACCTGTGCTTTTTCCACTGTGCCCCTCGCAACCCTTCCAGCCTCCGCCCAGCCTCACGCCCAAGGCCACGTCTGTGTTTGTAGATGCTGGCTGTGGTGGCACCACCCCCCGCCCCCCTCCCGGGACCACAGTCTGCATTCGTTTCCTGTCACCGCTGTGCAGGACGCCACAAAGGCAGTGGCTTAGCCCCCAGCTCTGGAAGTGGGAAGTGGGTCCCGCTGGGCTCCAGCCCAAGTGTCAGCCGGACTGGGTCCTCTTGAGGCTCAAGCGTGGGGAAAAACATTCCCTCCTTCTTCCAGCTTCTCAAGGTGCGGCACCCCGGCTCACAGCCCCTTCTCCCGGCTGTGGTGGCCAGGTCTTTCTCCCGCCACCCTCCTCTGCTGACCCTTGTGCTGTGTCTTGGCTGCCAGGACGAAGCTAACAACTTGTGGGGGGGCAGGTGCAGGTCGTCTGGCCGGAGCTGAGACGCCCGAGGGTCTCACTGGAAGCTGGGTCTCAGCAGAGCCCAGCTGCCAGCAGGACCCAGGAGCGCCACACGCAGCCACTGCACTGTGTGCGCCCAGAAGGCCTTGCCACGGCCCATGCGGCCGGGATGCCCGGGCTCTTGCAGCAGAGAGCAGCTGGCTGGTGGGGGGCACAGGGCATCGCCCTCCCCTCAGCGGCCTGCAGGCTGCTGCTCACCCTGGCTGCCTGGCCCTTCCCGGGGGACTCTCTGAGGCCCGGTGACCGGCGCTGTACCCACGACCCTCATGTGCCTGGGGATCCCACAGCTCCTTCCTGAGTCTGAGAAACCCGACCACGGGCACCCGGGACAGCCTTCTGCGGACGCAGAGATCGGGCAGGCACACGCGTGCACACTGCATCCAGACTCCATCAAGCAGCTCGAGCCAGAAATGCCTGTGTCCTCCTGGCACCAGCAGTGCCCACCCCCCACCCACCCCCGCCAGCCACAGAGCCCCTGATTGCTCTCAGGCCTACACGCAGCAGCCAGACCCCACTCCTAGAGACACACTGGACACAGGGGCTGCCCGGCCTGCTCCCCACCCCCAGCCTGGGACTCTGGCCAGAAAGGCCAGTGGAGCCAGGCCCTGGCCTTCTGCCTTCCCCCCAGGAGGTGCTCCCTGGAGCCTCAGGTCAAGGAGGACCCCTACCTTTGACTCCGACACCCAGGCTTGTGGTCAAGTTCCTGAGGCCTCTACTTTGGGCGGGCATGCCTAGAGAACAGAAAGACCTGCGGGGGAGGCATGGGGAGGGGCCCGGGCCCACACAGCCCAGCAGGCTGAGGTCACAGTGAGACCCAGACAGCAGAAGGGAAGAGAGCATGACAGGGACGGGGTGACCTGAAGGTGGCGTCAGGCACAGGCCTTGCTCAAGGAGGGGCTATGACCTCCCTGCCAGCCACAGAGCCAGCTGCAGCGTCTGGGGAAGCAGCGGGGCAGGGGGGCCACGCACGGGTCATAGGAGCCCAACCCTGTGGGAGTTAACATCTGCTGGCCTCAGTGGAGAGGTCTCCTACTCCTGGTCACAGATGCAGCATAGATGATACGGACATGTCCAGTGACTGGGGGACAGAGGGAGTAGGATTCCCCATGACCCGGAGCTCCTGACCAGACAAAGACAGAGGCATGAGCTCCAGTGAGACGGCGGCAGGCCCCAAGGGGTACAGTAGGACCCAGGAGCCTTCTTGCAGGGCTCAGAGCATGAGTGAGTTCAGCAGACGATGTGGGTGGAAGCTTCTAGAACGGTGCACGTTAAAGTCACGGTGAAACAACTGTGATGTCTGCCCTCCAGTCCAGGGACTGAGTCAGTGGGGTGGAGACCGGATGAAGCACCACGGGATTTTAAAGTCACCCCCAACACAACTCTGTGCAGCCAACGGGGGAGGTACTCTGGGGCAGGGAGGCTCGGGGAGATGGTGCGGGACCCTGGGGACAGGTGGGGGCCAGGACATGGAGACAAGGCACTCCAGGGCGCCTGCACTTTGTGGCTGGCTGCAGGACTGTCAGATGGGGGCGGTTCTCAGGGCAGGAGGAGGAGGAACCATCACCAGGAGTGCAGAGAAGGCAGGCGGGCCAGGGGCCACCATAGGCTGGGAAGACCCCCGTTGTGGGAAGCAGAGGTGGGGGGTGGGCTCTGGTCTCCGGCTAGGGCTGGGGCTGGTGATGGCCCGGGAAGTGGAGGAAGGCCACAAGCACGCTTGGCAGTAGCCCAGCCTAAGGGCCAGATGAGCGGCAGGAGGACAGAAACAGGACCTACCCGGTGGGGTGAAGGCTGAGGGTGGGAGGGTGCGGGAGCCGCAGTGAGTCAGGAGACAGAGATCAGGGCCCCCCCACCTCTTAGGGCTATGTGGGTGCTGAGGGGGTGGTGAGCATGACAGCCATCGGCTGTCCCCAGGCAAGATGTCAGGGGTAGGAGGGCGGGGCACCCTGCTGGAGCCTCCTCTTGTCTCTCCTCCGCCCGCACAGCGCCTACAAAAGCTCCAGGCTTCGGTTTAGGTGCCGCCCCACCCGGCCTCTGTACTCACCCCGCTCCCGAGCTTTCCCCTCTGCTCATCCCTCAGACCACAGTGCCCAGGCCAGGACTGGCTCCTGCAGCAGAGCCCCCGGGGCCAGGCTGGCCAGGGCCCCCCCAGCCCGCTCCAGCACACACTCTAGGGTCCCTGCCACCTGCATGGGAGGGCACAGCACAAGCAGAGTGGTCAAGGCTCCCTGGAACGCAGGAAACAAGACAGGTGTCCCTTACCCTCAGTTTCCCGAGCCCCACAGGCCAAGTGAGGACACAGGTCAGCAGGGCAGCCTGCGGCTGACCCTGGCAGGAAGAGCCCAGCCCGGGGTGGCCAGGAGGCAGGCCACGGTCCCAGCTGTTTGGCCAGGCCACCCTCAGTCTCGCACCCGCCCTGGTGCCCTCAGCACGGATCGCCGAGACGCTGAGCACACACACAGGCGCTAACCTGAGAGAATTCTTTTTATTACGACCGGACAGGTGCGCCGAGCAGGGACACCCAGCCTCCCACCCACAGCTGCATCTCCACACAGGCCACCCGCCCAGGCACCTCGGTCCTAGGCCCAGCTAGTCCAGGGGCCCTCGTGAGCAGCGGGACAGGAGAGAGGGGAACACAGCCACAGGCCAGGGCCCTAGGGGCAGCCCTGGCCACCCCTCCACCCGCGCAGAGCCGCCGACAGCCAAGACCCAAGCAAGGCCAGGAGAGGGAGGTCCGAGTCAGCTCCACCCTGGAAACAAGCCAGACGGAGCCCAGTCCCTCCTGGGAAGGGGCCCCAGCTCTCCCGGGCCGGCGGATTTCTCTCAAAACAGCAGAGTCCCGGGGGCGGGGGCGGGGCGGGGCGGCGGGGGCGGGGGCGGGGCCCACGGAAGACCAAGGAAGGGAAAGCCCCACAGGAGAAGGAAACAGACCAGCAGTCCCGTAAGTGTTTGTTGAGCGAATGAGTGAAATCCAAAGGTCCTTCCTGACGAGTGGCACTCGTCCATCCACCAGGAAAAGCCCGGCGGGGAGCCAGTCCGACGTGCGGCCTGCCGGCGTCTGGGGAGCCCGCTCTCGGCGCGCCCAGGCCGGGTGGGGGGCAGCGACGACCTCTCAGGCCTCCCGCCGAGCGTGCCCAGGGCGTGCGCACACGCAGGCACACGCAGGCACACGCACCACCGTCTCTGCACACGTGTGCGCCTGCCGGCCGCGGGCTCACCTCTCCTTCCCGAGGCTCTGTGCCCCCGCGCCCCCGCCGCCGGCCCCGGCCCCGCCCCCGCCGCGGCCCCCGCCGCTGCACAGCACCTCCGTGAGGTCGTCCATGACGGCGGTCTCTTTGGGGTCGAGCAGGTTGAACTCCCGGGCGAAGAGGATGAAGTGGGCGTAGAGCGTGTTCAAGTGTCCGTGCAGCTCGAGGGCCAGCGTCTCCTTGAAGTGGGACCAGTAGATGTGCGCCAGCACGTGAAACAGGTACTTGCAGATCTTCTTCACCAGAGCCTCGAACGAGCTGGGGAATTCTCTGCCTGCGGGGGCCCGCGGTCAGCCCGCCCTCCGCGGCCACCGCGCCTCCCGCCGCTCCGCGGGCAGGAAGGGGATGGCGGGCAGGACCGCGGGGCGTTCCTGCGGCCGCGCCCTCCCCACTCAGCAGCCCGCGGGCAGGCAACCGAGGGACCCGCCCGCCTGGGCCCCGAGAGCCGGGCGTCTGCAGATCTGGACGGGCCGCCTCTGCGTCGAGGGGCCCGTGACCCTGCCATGCGCCATCCAAAGCTGGGACTCGGCCCCAGGGTCCCATGCGCGTCCCTGACAGACGCTCTTGGGCCTCTACATGGCCTGGCCACAGACGAGGACGGAACCAAGGTGCACGGGTGCCTCCTGCTGGCCGAGCACCATCCGTTAGCTCCGTACTGGCCTGGAGCCCAGGGCAGGACCCGCCCAGGTCAGGACGCAAGGCGGCTACTGCTTGCTGCCTGTCAGACCCCCGGTGAGGTGGACTGCGGTGGCCCCACTGTACAGGGGGCAGAGCCGGAGGCAGAGGCCAGAGGTCCCAGAGCCTGGCATGGGTGGGGTCTTGACCCAGCCTGGGCTAACCCTGCCAGAGCCCACCTGCCCGGCTCCAGAGCCAAGGTCACACAGCCGCCCCCATCCCGTAGGTCTGGCCCTGTCGCGACGGCAGCCACAGCCGCCCAGCAGGGAGGAGGGCAGCCGGGCAGAGACGTACCGTATTTCGTGGGGAACACGTCCTCGTCCGTCACCAGCTTCTGCACGGAGCTCATGACAAAGTCGACGTACTGGGGAGCGGTGCACTTGACCTTCTTCCCCCGCTCATCGTACCAGTAGTACTGTCTGTGGGGCAGAGGGGATCGGTCACGCTGTCCCCGCAGACACCCAGGCCCCGCCCTCTCCCGGCCACCAGCAGTGCAGGTGTAGCAGGTGCCCAGGCTCCCCCTCCCAGAGCCCCCAGGGGCAGACACACTGCTCCCCACCACTGGAGACCCCCAGCTGTGTCCCACAAGGGGCTGCCTGCACCGACTCAGAGCAGTGGCCAGGACAGAGCCCGCCGTACAGACACCAACAGCAGGCGTGTCCGTTCTCTCTCCTGCGTGGCTGCACGCCTCCTTCTTTCAGAGGGACGCGCGCTTGTAGGCTGCGGAGAGGCCCGGATGGCGCACTCTTCCCTGCTGTCCCTCCTCCTCTGGGGGTACCGCTCTGACCTGTCAGCTGGGCCTCGACCCTTGGGAACCCCATGCCCTCCAATGGCCAGTCTTCAGGGAGGACAGCTGGGGCACTCGTGGGCACAGATACCTGGGAGCTCTCACTGTGTGAGCGCTGAAGGCCCTCCTTGCCCAGCGCTCTTCTCTCCAGCAGAATGAACCCAAGCGCCTGGTGGGCACCCACCTGGCCACCCCCTGCTGTCCCACCCTCTGCTTCTGCAGGCTGGCTCACCAAGGGCTGGACCCAGAGCCACAGGAGGGCGGAGAGCCGGGGTGGGGGGTGAGGGAGGCCGAGGGATGTGGTGCATGTGGGCGTGGGGCTGCACCTGGGAGTGACTGAGAGGCCTAGACCCCGACCCTCTCAGCCCCTGCCCCAGCCAGGCGACAGGCAACCGTAGGGCACCAGGCTCCACACGGATGTCTCGCTCTGTCCGGCAGCCCCCATAGCCCCCTCCCTTCCTGGCTTTACTTGGCCTCAGAGTCAGCTTGGACTAGGCTCCCCCAAACCTCCACATCCCACCCCACTGAGGGACCCCGCACGGGCTCAGAGTACCCTGGTCTGAATTCTCGAGTGTGCCAAGTACCCCTGCCTGGTATGAGGGCTGGCCCACGCCCACCACTCTGTCGGACCTGTCCCCAGGACAGCGGGGGTTCCCATTTCCCATGGTCAGCCCGACCCTGGCCAAGGCCCTCGGGACAGTCCACCACCACCGCCTCTGCTCCAGCAAGCCCACCTCCGTCTAGCAGGAGCAGGCGCTCTGCCTGGCCCCGGGCGGGGAGTGGGGCCAGCTGGCGAGACCAGGCAAGCACAGCCTCCACGCTAATGGACAGGCTCAGGGAGGCCAGCCCTTCGTGGATAAGGGGATAAGCGGCCCAACTGCCACTCGGAGGCGGAAGGTCTGGGGTGTGACTTTGCAGAAGGCAGACCTTCCTGCTGTACCTGCTCTCAGGCTGCTTCTGGGCACTGCGGCGCACCTGCAGGGAGGCCGGGCTGCCCAAGAGCCCAGAGCTAGGTGCCGCACAAGGTCCAGGAATGTAAGTGGGCAATGGAGCTGTCGAGACAAAGCCCTGAGAAGTGTGCCCGACTCCCTGCCTGCCCCCAGGAAGTAGAAATCCAGCAGCGCGCCCATCTGTTGGGACACCTGCCCGAGCACCCCCCACCCCACCCCCACAAGGAGGCTCTGCCGGACCCTCCGCCTGCCCGCCCAGACATCAGCACAGGCTGGTCAGATCACCTGAGGACTCGAAGACAAAGCCCCTTTCTGTGTCTCTCCATGCTGGAGGTGGAGCCCAGTGTTTGGGGGCCGGGCTGAGGTCCACGTATGCTGTGAGGTCCATGTCTGCGGCGGGTGCCAGACACCTGCCCCACCGATCCCCCTGCACTGAGGGCGGGTGCCGATGTACCAGGCCACAGGGGCCAGAGGGCCAGAAAACACAACTGCAGCTAGAAACGGGGACACGTGTCACCACCACGTGCAGCCCAGAGAGACTAGCTCCTGAGGGACAACGAGGACTGCCCCCTCTGTCTGAAAGACGAGACACTCTGCTGTCAACGTTCCTCTTGTTTTCGTTTTTCTGCGATGGCGCAGTACACGGGGCGCTCCGGCAGGCAGTCCTTCCGCCTCACCCACCCAGGCCCGGGTACCCCACCCCACCCCGACACAGCAGGGAGGGCCCCTGGGGAACGCCACGGGACATACTGAGCTGGGCTCTGGCTCCAGCCACGTCTCAGTGTGAGCCCCGCGGCCCTTCCTCCTCCAGCACGGAGGGGCCGGTGTGCCCAGCCGTCCATCTGCTGGAAGACGCCGGGCTCACCGCCAGTCCGGGGCAACCCCAGCTCAGGCGACTCTAAGTGCTCCCAGGCAGGGCCGTGTGTGAGCACACGCTCTTGCCGGTCTCAGGCGAACACTCCAGACTGGCAGTGCTGGGCCCCAAAGAGGCCGCCAGCCGCCGTCGGCCAGGCTCGCGCGTTGCTCCGCCAGCGTGGGGCACGCCGTCCTCCCCGGTCCTCTCTGCTGACCCGTGTGTCCAGCCCGGGCCCGCCGGTGACCACTGCTGCTGTGAGGGCTCCTCATCCATGCTGGGCGCCGGTGCCCTCCCGGGTGTGGGACTGGCCTGCGGTCGGTCTTCCTCCTCCGAACGCGCCCTCCTCCGAGCCGAAGTTCCGCGGACTGCGCCGGGCCTCCTGCTTCTTCCTCCTCCACGGCGGGCCTTGCGTCACGGCCGAGAGCTCCTCACCCAGCTGTAGGGCATGAAAATCTCCTCCTTTTCTTCCAAAAGTCTTCTGGTTTCACAATTTAGAATCCATTTGAAGCTAATTTTGGCATAAAGTGTGCGGTTTGGGTCAAGACTCACTTTTCTCTCCCTGGTGTCCGGAGTTGCGGTCTTCCGGGCACTGGTTTAACAGACCAGCCTTCCTGCACCGCGTCTCTGGAATCTGCGTCAAAACCAGACGGCCGCCTTCGTGCGGGTCTGTCTGCGGAGCCTACATGGCGCCCTGCTCCGTGTGTCTGTTCCCCACGCGCCCCCGATCGCCGCGGCTTGCCCGCGACTGGAGCCGGGGAGCGGGAGGCCTGCAGCCTCACGGTTCTCTCCTTAGCACTGCTGCGGCCGCAGTAGCGGCCGTGCCCATCCACGCACTGTCCTAGTCGACTGGTCCCCTCCTGCAAACACTCTGCCGGGATTCAGACCGAGGAGGCAGGAAATGAGAAGATGGATCCCAGGGAGCTCACCCTCGGCGCCCACAAGGGCCATGCGCCCCCTGGCTGTGCGGGCCTCCCCGCGGCTGCTCCCCGGCCCCTTGCCCATCGCGGCACGCGGGCACGTGTGTGCTGGCCCGGGTTTATCCCTGAGCATTTCGTCCTCTGTGGGGCTGTTGTAAATGGTGCAGTTCTCTTAGTGTGGGGCTCCAGGTGTGCACTGCTTGGGGTTTTCTACACAGACAACCGTGCCGTATACGGTAACGGGGGCACTTCTAGTTCTCCGCTGTGGATGTCTTCTACTCCTGGTTTCTAGCTGGACAGCACAGCACTGCCCATTGAGTGTATTTTGCTATTTTGTTCTTACCAAGGAATCAGTCCATTTAAACTGCCCAACTTACGTATGCAGGGATTTTTGGTACATTTGGTACGTTTCCTTAATATCCGCTTAGTATCTGCTGAGTCTACAGTGACGGCCCCTTCATTCTCATCCTGACACCCTGCTCCGTTTCTACCCACCTGTCTTGCGAAAGATCCATCAACTTCCCTGAACTTTTCAAGAAATCGGCTACTGGTTTCATGGATTTTCCTGTTTTCAGAGATCAACTTCAGTGATTCCTACTCTATTATTCTTTTCTTCCGCTCAGTTTGGGTTTATTGTTCTTTTTCTAGTTTCTTAACGTGGAAGCTGAGGTTCCTGATTTGAGATCCTTCTCCTGTAACGAACACGTAACCCTACAGATTCCCCTCAAAGCTCTGCCGTGTCTCACAAATTCGGGGGTGCTGCGTCCTCATTTGTGCTCAGGTTAAAACATTTCTAATTCCCTCGGAGACTCCTCTCCGACCTGTGCGTCATTCCCAAGTATTTGGAGATCTTCCTGTTCCATTTCTGTGACTGATTCTCGTTCACCCCCACGACGGTCAGGTAAGGAACGCAGTAGCACCCTGGCCCTTCCGAGTTTGTACAGGCCTGTCCTGTGAGCGGGATGCGATCTCCTTTGCTGACTCCTCACGCCACGTGCGCTTGAGAAGAACACGGCCTTGGTGGTCAACGGTGAAACGCACCCAGCCCAGCCGGCCGACGGTGCGACTCCGTCCTGCGTCCTTGCTGACTTGTGAGAGCTCTGCAGCGGCTCTGGGCAGAAGTCCCTCTTCCTCAGGAAGCCCCTCTGTCCGCGGTTTCACTTTCCTGGGTCCCAGTTCCTGGCGACAGGCGCCGTCCAGAAGCAGACCGGCCCCGCCTCCAGGCGCAGTGGCAGAGGCTGAGCGTGATGTGCGGGCGCGCCACGCCACCCCCGCCCACGTTTCACAGGGGCACACGGTCAGCAGGAGAAAGCGGGTACAGCGTAGCAGGAGACCTGAGAGAGACCGCACTCACGTGACTGACGACGGCATGCTGCTGTAACTGTCCCGTTCTGTCACCGGTCGTGAGTGTTAACCTCTCTACCTGATTTACCGATGAAATTATCACAGGCCACAGGGTTTGGTGTGGTCCGCAGAATCCGGCTCCCAGCGGGGGCCTGGGTGCACAGCCCCGCGGCCGGCAGCCCACTCCGCGATCTCTGCCTTGCGCTCAGCACCTCTGTACCGCTGACGTTTAAGGAAATTTCTGGTGTGCTTGAATTTTTTACCATCTTTCGTTTACCGTTTGGCCCCTTTGCTTCTCGTCCCTTGTAACTCCTCTTTCCCGCCTTCTTTTGGGTTATGTTTTCGTCTTCCCTTTCAGTTTACCAACTGCGACTCTGACTACACCTTCTACACAACTCACCAGAGTCGGAATGCACACTCCACCTGCTTTCCTGCCACTCCAGCCCAGCCCGCCGCCATCTCCTCTGCTGTCACCCGTCACATGGGTGTGGCTCAAAGCACTTGAAAGGGACAGTCCCTACTTCCATCCCTGATGCTCGTTCTGCACGGACGGTCCCAGTCCCCTCGCTTGGGGACCCCTTGCAGGAGCAGGTCTGCCCCTGTGGATGCTTTAAGTCTTCCGCCATCGGAGAAATGTCCGTATTTCAGCAAAGCCCTGAAGGACATGTTTGCTGGAAGGAGGACTAGGGCTGATTGCTCTTTACTTTCAACGCGTTAGAAATGTGGCAGAGCTTCCTTGTGGCCCAAGGGTTCCGACGAGCACAGCAGTCACTCACGCATGTCCTCGAGGACTGGCTCTGCTCCGAGAAGGCCTTGTCTTTGCCCAGTTCTGTTATGACCCGCCTGTGCGTGGACTCAACAGTCTGTCCCACTTGGAGTTCACTCAGCTTCTTGAATGTATGTTAGCGTCTGCCAAGCTTGGAAAGCTTCCAGCCGTTATTTCTTCAAACACATTCTCCATGTAGCCCTTTCTTGTCACCTTCTGGGCCTCCAACACAACCCTCTGGTTTCCACGTCTAGGGCCCAGCAGGGTGGACACAGGTCTCAGCCCCACTCCAGGCCCCAGGCACACATGTTGGTCCTGGGGCAGCACACAGCTCGGGGACCTCTGGCAAACCCGCCTTTTTCTCTTCACCTAATTCGACGTCAAACAGCTGCTAGGAAGGTGGCAGAGCGTGCCAGGTCCGTAAGCCTCGAAGACCCTGCGAAGGCGGCTGCAGCCAAGAAGAACGAGAAGTGGGGGCGCAAGCTCCCCAGATTCCATCTCACACCAAGCTCTACGCACTTTCAAGGAGTCTCTTCTCAAGCCTGGAGATACTGAAGGACGCCTGGGAGCAGAGACAAGCTTCCCCACTGCCTGCCCTACGGGCCACCTCGGACTCCGCTGGGTCGGGCAAAGCCAGCAGCGTCCTTCTGAGTGTGCCACACACAGGACAGCTCTAGGACACGGTCCTCGCTGGCCTCCAGCATCTGCACCAGGGCGCTCTGCTCTGCTGAGGGCACTTCCCTCCCCCAAGCTCACCTGCCCCACCCTCCCAGGGGCATCCCTGGCTGCGGCCAGTGGGGACACACGTAATGTCTGGGCTCCCATCAGTGACCCTTTCTGGGTGGCAGAGTGGAGAGCCAACCACTGTCTACATTTGCTCCCACGGGACCTGACCCTGAGCTGTGACCTGCTGGGGCCACAAGAGTGGGGCCTAGTGGGGCTGAGACCTCCGCTTGCCTGAGCTAGAGCTGGGCCTGGGCCTGGGCGCCTGGCGGGCGGCGGACTGTGCTCACAGCAGGGCTGGCGGCTCCTGTGTGCTAGCATCAGCCCTAGCGATAAAAGACGGTGTGGGAAAAGGGCTCCCACGCCGTCGCCTCGGTCCCAACAGCCGCAGGCTGAGCCCAGCACCTGGCCTTCTGTCTGCAGCCGCCGTCCAGCCCTTCTGCTATCAGAGGCTAGTGGCAAGCCCGTGCCGCGCAGCGGCCCTCCGGCCCCCGCCCCGAGCAGCAGCCGCCAATCCGCCAGGGGAGCCTCGAAGCCCCTGGGGTTCCTGCCTACTGAGGACACAAGTGTGCACAAGCTTCCAGAAGAAAACGAACGCATCTGGGCCCATGGAAAACTCACTGAGAAGGCATCCCAGCCCCACAAAACCAGCCAACGGAGAAAGCAATGAGTGGCCTCTCTACCCAGTCCCTCGCTGTCCCCCTCCTCACTCCTTCGACACAGAGCAGGAGCTCTCGGGAAAAGCCATCGGGCATCCGGACAGCTAGCTGAAGCAGGGAAGCGCCTGTAGCTTCCTGACGTGCTGCGGTCTTAGGAAACCCACTGAGGCACGTACTGTGGAAACACCCCGGCCCCGAGGAGCTCAGCCACCAGCCTATGGCCGGCTGGCACCCCGCATCCCAGCAGACCCTATACCACCGAGTGCCTCCCCTGTCTGGGCTCTGTCCCCACAGGGGCAGGAGGGGCCGCCGCAGCCAGGACCCTGCTGAGGAGACCCTGTGGGGATACCGTGAGTGACTCACGTGTTGCACACGGCCATCGTCTGGCACGCCTCTCCTGTGCAGAACTCTGAGATGGTGCTGTACTGTAGGTTGACGTGGTGGAAAAACGTGGTGGCTGCAAGAGAAGAGAAGGCCCGGGCATGAGAAACCACCACTGTGGCACTGTTCTGCGTCCCAGTGCCCTGCAGACCCACACGAAGCCAGCATGCACCACAGACCAGAGACGTGTGTCCCAGTGCAGAGCAGTGGCCCTGGACGCCGGCCATCGGCCGCTGTCGTGCGCGCCGGGCATGTGTCTGCATAGCACCAAGGCGGGCAGAGAGCCAGCGGGCAGCCGGATGGAGTCCCCTCCGCGAGGGCTGCGGCGGGCAGCCATGCCGTGAGCCCCGAGCCCCAGGCCTGCCCAGTGGCTGGAGTTGAGGTCCACGCTCCCCTCCCACAGGCCGCAGCCTTCCCACGGACTCGGCACTGCCAGCCCTGCAGCTACACACCCGCTCCAGACACTCCCTGGCACTGGTGGCCCGTGCCTGGCCTGGCCGGGACCCGCAACGGGTCCTGGTGTTGGGGAGACCCTACGCACGCTACAGGGCCGGCCATCAGCTCCAGGGAGTCCTCGGTCAGGTGACGGCCTGTGGCCGCTGTGGCACCCTCCCCGACCCGGCGCCCCACGCACTGTTGCTGGCCAGCCACTCATTGAGGTCAATCTCGCGGGGCAGCACCACCAGCTCCTTGAAGCCGACGTCGGTGATCCTGGACCTGGTGTACTCCGGCTCCAGGTACATCTTCTTCTCCTCCGCGGCGGGCTTCTTTCCGTTGGGCTTTGCTTTAGACTTCCTGCCGGAGACAAGGCGGCGGGGGTCACTTCGTGACAAAGCAGGCGTGGAGGCCACGAGCTGGGTCTCAAGATAGGAGCTGGGCTGTCCCTGCCAGTGGGACAACCAGAGGCTCTTGCCGAGACAGCACAGGAGACTCTGCTCCCAGTGGGCGCCAGGAATGGAAGGGAACTGCTCTGCCCCCCCGCCATTGTCAGGGGCCAGGCCCGACCGGCCGGGCCCCCCGCCGCCACGAGGGGAAAGTGGGAAGCAGACACATGCCAGAGGCCTGATGCCACAGGCCACACATGGAAGCCACGAAAGGCAGGCGGCTCGGGGCCCACTGAAGAGGTGGGCCAGCAGCCCCACTAGTCAGGCTCTAGCCCCCACACGTGACACTGCAGACACCTTGGCCCGCAGGGCTGCCAGGTGGGACACAGGGACGAGCTCCCCTGGCCCAGGCCCCCCCATCCTTCTGGGCAGCCGATCCCCCCGCCCGGCCTCAAAAGAGGCCTCGCTGTGTGCCGACGCACCTGGGACTCCCCTGCACAGCCCCGTCCCCGCTCACCTGGGCTCCACCCCAAGCCCACGGGGCAGGATCCGGGCGGGGGCGGGGAAGTGGGCGTGAACCAGGCATTACAGAGATCACAAATGACCTCTTGCACCGAAAGTTTTTTCTGCTTACAAAAATAGTTGTTTTCCATAAAAATACACTGTCATACAGAAACTGAATGGGCTTGTTATAGCTATTTTTATAGGACTAAATACGTATTTTTGAAACGTCTGTTTTCCTTCAAATCCTGTAAGCATCAGTACCTATGCCCCATCAACCAGAGTTCTCGGGGCTGAAGGGCCTCCCCGGCGGGGAGCCTTGGGCCCCAGACCAGCCTCGTGCCAGCCGCCCAGAGGTCAGAACCAGGGCCACGGTGAGTGCAGCCTAGTTGCCCAAACGAGGTAGAACGTATCCCAAGAAGGAAAAGTGGCCAGGACAGTGGCCCAAAGCGCACGGCTGGGAACATGGCCCAGGCTGGGTCTGTCATAAGTCACCCAACGTCACAACGGAGCCCACAGTGGGCAAATGGGCCCGGAACACCGGATCCCGTGGAGGGCCGTGTGCGGACATGGCCCTTCCCAGCAGCAACCGCCCAACGTGGAGAAGCAGGGGGGCCTCCTGCCATCTGGGGAGCAGCTCAGAGCAATGCTGTAATCCTCCCGTACCTGCAGGGACTCCCCCTACCGTTGGAGGTTTAGAATTCAGTTCCTGGGGGAAGCTTGAGAAGCCGAAGGAAAGTGCCTCACAGCAGTCTCCGTTTTCAATAGTACAAGGGGACCCAGTGTGACTCGCAGAAACAAACCCCAAGTCAATACTGTCAGGACATCCTACTGACCAGAAAAGGCCACCTTTGGCTATAAATTCTCAAGGAGGTGTCATCCCTGCCCCAGGAGCAGAAGCCCCGGGGAAGCGTGTCCATCTTCCCCCGGGGACAGGATGAGACAGATGGAGGCCGACATATCCTTCAGAGCCCCCGTCGTGCTCCGCGGCGCTGAGGGGCAGGAGTGAGCACGCCCGCGCCACAGCCAAGCCATGCACACCAGTGTCGGGATGGCCGTGAGCCCGTGGCACCGGAGGCCGCCCACACACCTGGCAGGCTGTGGTCGGGGTGCTGGCTGGGCTGGGGGGCTGGGGGCAGGCAGGCTGAGGACCTGGCCCCGAGGCTCACACCCTCGAGGTCTGCAGCGCCCGCGCAAGGAGAAGCAAACCAGCTCCGCCCTGGCCTCCGTGTCCGGCCCGGCTGCCCAAATGTGAACGCTCTGCGGTCTCAGCTGGGGCGCAGCCCACTGGTGGCCGGGCCGGACACGGCCGTCCGAAGGACTCAGGGCACCCAGCTCCTTGTGCGCCCCGTCCCCGCCCTCACTCCAGTGGGGCAAAAGGTCTCTGCGGCTCCCTGACCCTGTCCTTTTTGTCTGTTTTGAAATGCTGCTAGTGGTTTATTTAAGAGAAACAGGAAGGAAAAATGCTCCCCGAATGCCAGGGAAATGTTTTCCATCAGCTTCTCAGCAAATCTTCTCCTTAAAAGGCGACGTGTTCTCAGCCTCCTGGTGCACCACTGGGAGTAACCAATGCCGTGCAGGGCCACAGTGTCCTGGGGACAGGGAGGGACCGCATGCGGCCTGGGCGGCTGGAGCAAGGGCATGGATGTCTCTTCCTCTGTTACACACACACCTGCACGAGTACATCAGGGGCCCCTCTGGCTGGGCGGGAGGCCGTTCACTGGGGACAAGCGTGGACACATGCCTCTCAGGGCCCTGTGGTCCCTTGGACCAAGACAGCAAGGTTCCCACCTTCCCCAGAGCACGCAGAGGAAGACTGGGCCCTGGGAGGGCTCAGGGAGCCCAGGGGCCCTGCCATGCCCTCAGACGCTCCACCAGGAGGCTGGGCAGGCCATTTCACTCCCTGCCCCCTGCCCTTCTCCTGACCCTGGTCTCTGCTACTGAGTCGCATGCCGTCCTGTCAGAAAGCCTGAAGTGGCCTGGAAAGACGATCTGTGCCCACAGGCCCAGGCGCGAGGGACCAGCCCACGGGATGCACCTGCAGCCTGCGCCGGTTCCGCCCTGCTCACCCCTCTGCTGCGTCCAGGCCCAATCTGACCCCCGCCTCCCCACTTGTGCTCTAGGCGCACCCCTGCCTGTGCCTCCCCTCGACTCACACCTGGCTAGGACCACCCCTGAGCTCGCCACACATGCTAGGACTCGACCTCTGGGTCTAGAGGACTCTACTATCACACGTATGCAGATGCGGCACATGGGGGCCCGGGCTGAAGTCGGCTGCCTGACCTCCTCTTCGTCCTGCTGTCCAGGGGCCGTGTCACCAAGTGACGTGAGGACCACCCAGCAGAACCAGCCTATGGGCAGCTGGTGCCGGAGCAGCAGCAGGAACCGGTACAGGGCAAGATGCCACTGAGGCCACACAAGAGGCCCACTTGGGGACTCCGCCTTAGGAAGGGTGTGGCACCCTTGTGCTGGCAAGTCCATTTCCAGGGGAGACTAGGAGTCCTGGAGGGGATGTGGGCTGCGACGTCTGTGATCAGAAGGCCTCAGCCACCCCACCCTTCTCCCCTGCTGCTGTCCACACCTGTTCTGCAACAAACGGGGCAAAAAGGCAGGTGCACACCAGGCCCGCCCAGCTGGACTTCTCCAAGCTGCTTCCCCCAAGCTCCCCATCATCCAGGGAGGGCCTGGGAGCCCTGGACCTCTGTGCAATCTGGAACGAGCCCTCTGCCAGGCCAGCCAGTGCAGATTTCCGCGCAGCCTGGTCACGGGGTCTTCTTTCCTTCAGTCCCACAGGCAGGCAGTGATGATGGGCACTGACGCAAAGGTACAGGCCAGGGCCCCTGTGTGGGAGCGGTCCTGCAAACCCTGTCACACGGGGCCCTCCCACCCCAAATTCTGTCCTGGCCACAGCAAACCATTTGGCCCCTCTGAGTGCCGGAAGTGGCTCTGGCCCAGCCCCGTTCCTCTGCCACTGGCAGCAACAGGCCATGTGACGCCTGTCCCTATGGCCACACGGGGGGAGAACACAAGATCCCGTGCCCCCCACCCCACTGGCACTGAGCTCTGGAGCGGGCTCTGTCCAGCCAGGGCCCAGAAGGCTGTCTGGGGGCCGCACGGCCGGGCTCCTCCTCTCTGGCTCTCCCCCTATACTGCTTGCTCACTGGGACCCCCAGGGTGGCAGCGAAGGGACCAGACGGTGGACACAAGGCTATGGCCTGCCACAGGGGCTGCTGGCACCCTGGGGGGCGGGGGGGTGGGGAGAACATGGCCATAGGCACACAGAGACCTCCCAACAGAACTCTGCGTGCTGCTCCTGGTCTAACGGGTGGGCTCCGAGGCCAGACCAGCCATCTGGGAGGGGCCCAGGCTCCACGGAGAACATCCTTCTACTGTGTCCTCACCCCTCACCCTCCCCTGCTCCTGACACCTTTACCACCTCTGCAGCAGTCCCCATACCCCACACATGCTTGGCCTGACACACACCACCGGTCCCACCGGGAAAGCCCCTCAGGCTGCTCCCTGTGAGCCGGCACCGCCACAGAACCCACCCGTGTGAGCAAGGGGACACAAGGGCGCAGGAGTGACGCCGCCCGACAGCCACAGCAGGGGTCTCCCCTAGGGACGCAGACACACGAGGAGAGACGCACCTGCCCAAGGGCGCCGGGAACACTCAAGGGCCCCGTGCTGACGCTCCCCACGGAGAGCTGGCCCGCACAGGCAGATGTGGGGTGCCCTGGACCCACCCTCCAGGAACAACTGGTAACTGTCAGGTCTGGAACATGGGATGCCTCCTCAAGGTCTTGACCATGCTGGGGCAAGGGGCTGGTGGTCCCCAGGCACAGAGCAGGGAAACTGCGCCCAGCGGGGGGTGGGCCACACTGAACCAGGAGAAGAGAACCCTCCCCCGCCGGCCCCCGCCGCTGCCTTGCTCAGCCTTCTGTCTCTCAATCTGGCCCCTGCGGTGCTCCCAGGACACTGGCATCCCAGGACAGCCGGGGTTCTGGCTGTGAAGGAGGTAGGGCAGATGTGGGAGGTCAAGGGAAGCACGGAGACGCCGCGCGGGAGGAGGTGGGCAGTGAGACACGCAGCCCCGGCAGCCGGTCTGGAGGCGGCCTCACAGGACGGAGATCAAAGATCCAGGGGTGGGGGAGCAGGATTACGAGGGACGCACGGATGCAGGAATGGTGCGCCCATGGTGCGCAAAGGCCCCAGAGAAAGTGCTCCACGGCTACAGAGCCCGTGCTGGCGGTAGCCTGGGAAAGGAGGGGCCCCCGGAGCGGGCGTCTGAGGACTGAGAGCACGAGCAGGGTCCCCATGCTCCTAGGCACAGCCCGCCGCTCCCCACATCAGGCTAACACAGGAGGGAGTGCCTGGGCCCGGGCCTGACCGGGCCTGACCGTCTGGGGTGGCAGGCTGGGTGGAGCAGGAGCTCCCCCTGGGTCCTGTGCACAGGCCCATCCGCTCCCCATGGGGCAGCCGGGCCCAAAGTCCAGGCTCTGCAGGGACGTCAGACAGCCCTGTCACCCAGACGGTCAGGGCACACCCGGGGTCCCCACCAGGACCAGACATCACCCTCAGCCCTGGGCCGAGTGAAAATACCAGGGCTTGGCACCACTCCCGACCCCCAGGTTTCCGACGCAGTGGGCTAGCGTGGGGCCCGAAAACCACTTCGGACACGTGGAGGTGCCCGCCTGAGTCCGTTCTTGCCACTCCTAGTGCCCTGGTGTCACGATACTCCCTCCTGTTGCACAGCCTTGGAAACCAAAAGCTGGGAAGACACCCCCCTGGGACCCCCATCAAATCCCCACAGGCCACGGCCAGACAGGTGCTGTGGAGAGGGACGCGCAGGTCATTTCTCGTCTTGGGTTAACTGCCTGGCGGTCAGCACCCCCAAACAACCGAGCTTTCATAAGCCGCTGTGTGCCTACACAACGAGACCCATCGAGACGGAAGACGGCAAGGCAGACTGAGAAAGGTACACGGACCCCGTGGACACAACGTGCTCACGCGTCAGGTGCTGCCGCGCCCCGTCTGACCCCCGGCCGGAGCCGCAGTGTGGCCACCAGCCTCAGAGCTCGGAGCTGACTTTCCTTCTCCATCGGCAAAGGACGCGCTCTTCCTCTGGCGCCGGGCTGAAGCGTCACCCGCCCCGAGAAGTCCTCTCGGCACCCCGGTGAGAGTGGCCTGGGCCTCTCGTCGCCTGCAGCGGCACGCCGACGCTTGGCCGGGTCAGTGTTGCCTCCGTCCTCTGCAGAGCCCACTTTAGCATTCGCCCTCTCCCACCGTGCACACGCGCACAGGACACGCACCCACACCGGCACCCACGGTTCCAAAGCTCACAAGCTAACATTGCGGAAGGACAGCTCAGGTCAGCTCACAGGTGGGATCTCTGGTTTCTACTCGGAAGTCACTGTGAGTCCTCCCATGTGGCACGCAGGTGACCGGCTGTAGGGACGGAGCCCATGGAAGAGAAGAGTGAAAACCAGAGGTGCCCACAGTCAGTCGGGGGCACAGACACACACAGGCTCTAGAATACCTCGGTCACTCCATGCTGACCACCAGCTGGGCTTGGCTTCCCCACTCAGACAGTCGCCAAGAGGCCCGCTTAGCTTGGTTACAATTAGAGACAGAACTGGAAAAGCAAGAGACATTCACTTTCCATTTTAAAAATGATGACCTGCTGTTCTCAGGCCAACCTAAGAGGTTCATACCGCAGGAAGCTGGATCTGAGTCTACACCGTGACCCATTCCGGCACGGGCTCCTGTAAGCCCGGGTGTCCGGCGGCCCCTCCAAGCCCTCCAGCACAGCACAGGACTGCCCGTCTTCGAGGGTCAGGCCGGCCCGCTGCTGCCCGCCACCCCCACACCCTCCCGCCAGCAGGCCACGCTCGCTCTGCCAGTGCCCGAAGCAGCTTCTATCCAGACACAGAACCTGCACTGGAGAGAGAGTCTCCAGACCCCTCCGCAGGTCAGAAAAAGCAATTTAAAAAGCTGTCAGAAATGGCCCCTAGAGCGGACAGCTGTGTCCCATCGTCAGGTCTCTGGACAAGGCTACTCAGGGACAGTTTCTGGTCATCCCACCTGGGGACAACCGGACAGACACCATGCTGGTCTGGCAGGCCTGGGAGAGGGCAAGGCAGGACTGCCGTGGTCACAAACATGGTTAACCACAAGGAGGGAGACAGATCACTGGTGGGCCCCTCATTCTCCCCCAGACCCTCCAGGAGCACAAGCTCCGGCCACGAGCAACAGGACGTGCAGGCATTTAGGGAAAACCTGGCTCCAAACAAAGTTCCTGTCCAAACCCCAGGGCTCCCCCACCCCGCCCCGCGGCTACGCGCCGCCAGCAATTACAGCCACTGTTCCCCAGGCTGAGCCCGGGCCAGGACTAGGGACACCCGACTGCCCCCACTGCCCCCGCCCCGTTCACCTGAGCACTTTGCCAACAGCCTGAAGCACCATTTTGCAGCTGAGTCCAGCTTTGGGGGGCTGGCTGAGCAGAGCTCGGTCTGTGGGGAGACCGCTGGGATCTCCAAGCATGCTGGGGCAGTGCAGGGACCGGCAGGGAAAGTGGGAGCCAGGGCAGCGGACAGCCGTCCCTCCTTCCTCTCCTCCCTCCCTCCTTCTCTCCAGGAGACCGGCCAATGAGGGCACGGCGGGGCGGGGGGGGGACGCGGGGCGGGGGGGACAAACAGCTGCTCCTTCTACAGGCGAGGGCTGGCCAAGTCCGCTTAGATGAGGGAGTGTCTCAATGGCCTTCTCAAAGTGGCGCCTTGCGGGCACCGTGTGGGATGAAGGCCACTGCCCAGGAGATGGCTCGGGAAGGACCCATCGGTGAGGCCCAGGGTGGCACCACATGGCCCTTCTGACAGGGCAGGCGGCAGCTCTGCCCCAGGAGCTCGTGCGGCCGACACACAGCCCTCGCCTGACCCCCGCCGAGCTGAGACAAGAAACCGGCTGGGCCGGGACACCGGGCTGCAGACAGACAGGCTGGCCGCGCGCCTGCAGAGCACAGACTCGGGCCCGCGGCACACCGACACCCACACGGCCCTGGAAAGACAAGGCTGGCTGGCTCCCAGGGCGTCCCGAGCAGGCAGTGAGTGGGCACTGGGCAGAGGCTACTTCTGGAGGGCAGGTCTCCACAGAATGCCCAGAGCGCCTTCCTGTGGGGCTGCCAGAAGCCCAGTGTCCAAGGCCTTCTTTGCAGCTGTTCTCGACCCGGGAGACCACAGAGTACTGGAGAATCAAGCGTCTGAAAGAGGACGGCGCTCTGCTCAGCCCTGGTTTCAGTTCTGACCACAGACAGTGACAGCCCGGCCCCACGGGTTCCTCTGAGAAGCCGCACCCAGCACACTGCACAGCCAGAGTCCGCCGGGCCGCTGCGCCCGTACGCCCAGCTTGGCTCTGCCCTCCCCCCACCCCGAAAGGCCACATCCCAGAAAGGGCCCTGCTGACCTTCTCATCTGTCCAAGTTCAACCGAACTCTGCAGGGGCCCCCAAAGCCACGGAAAGGATAGATCAACGTGTAACAGCAAAAGGCAGCCTCTGCCCAGCCCGGCTGAGGACACCAGCAACAGAGCTCCAGTCCCTCGGGAGGCAGGACAAAAAAGGCTCCTTCTGTCCCGGCAGGACACTGTCCCCGGGGCCAGCCTGGGAGTCTGCACGACCTCAGGCACCCCCGCACTCACTGCCGGCCCGGAGTGGAGCCACTGATGGGATGGCCACACCTGCCCTGGCCGGGTGAGACGGAGTCCCCGGGAGGGGAGGACTAGCCCGCGGGGGCCGCAGCGGAGCACCAGAAGGTCGCCCGGGCTCACCTTGTTCCACGGCCTGCCCTGCCAACAGAGCCAGCCACTTCTCAGGGAGCCCTGGCCCCTTGTACTGCAGAAGACGAGAAGCTGACAGCCGGCTGCGGGGCGGTGCTCTCCTTGGTCCCGGCCAGCAGGGAGACGCGTGTGTGCTCGCGCTCATCCCGACGCCCCCGACGGGTCCGTGACCCGCGGATCAGTCCCGCCTCCTCCCCCTGGCCTGTCTAGGGCCTCCCCCCTCCAACAGAGAGACACCTCTGAGGAGACGCAGGGTCTGAACCACTTAGTCAAAAAGTCACGGCAGAGGGAGCGCCACACGGTACAGGCAGCAAGGCGAACGGGCCCGGCACCCTGACGAGGGGTGCGGGAAGGCGCAAGCTTCACTCAGAAGCACGTGGGAAGGGCTTTGTGGCTGAGTCCAACGAAACGGAAGAAGACAAGGCAGGATGAGCAGCCCCCGACCGTCAAAACAGCCCGGAGACCCATGCACCCGAGAGGCTGCCTCAGCGGTAAAGTAACTTAGGATCGGAAGAGAGAGGCAGAGAGCTCACAGGCGGAACCGGACACGAGCCCCGGAAACGCAGGCTAACTCGGAGGGGACACAAAGCCGACGTGGCAGGGAACACAGGAGAGAAAGGAGGAGTTTTCTAGATCAAAAAGGAATGAGGAGACAGTCGGGTGCGTGACGGCAGGCGGCGGGTCCCGGGCGGACCCCTCCATCGCCAGCAGCTACAAACTGGGTGAATCACAAAGCAGTGGGTGTCAGATGCTGGACAGCACGCTGGTGGCTCAGGACAGCGCCCGAGAGCAGGGACCCGAGGGTGAGCAGCGAGCCACCGTGGGCCGGAGGCTGGGGTGCGGGAAGGCGGAGCCCATGCAGGCCCCGCGGCCTCAGACGGAGGCCAGGGTCAGAGCTGGGGCTGCTGGAACATGCAGGGCTGCGTACCGGACAGCCGGGCTGCCCGGAGAAGATCTCCAGAAAGAAGGACGGAGCCAGTTAAGCCTCTGACCAACCACTTGGACGAGGGCACACAGGGCCCCTCCATAGGGCCTGGCAAAGAGCAGCTACGGGCAACGGCAGGCACTGCCGCCCCCAGAGCAGACACGGAGGGCATCCATAGAGGCGCCCGGCTGCTGCCCTGGAAGCCGCGTGAGGAGCAGGGCTGTGGCAGCCCAGAGGAAGGTCTCCCCAGAGCTGCCCTCGTCACGCCTCACCCAGCCTCCAAGGGCCCTGCCGTGCCAGCAGCAGAGCAGCCGCAGACCCGAGCAAGCAGGGAGCTCTGGAAGGAGGACGGCGAGAGCCAGAGCTATAGTCACACTCACCGCCACAGATCTGACGCGCACGCACACAGCTACACACACAGGCACACAGCTACGCACACGCACACACACAGCTACACACACGTGCACGCGCACACGCGCACGCACACAGCTACACACATGCGTACACACACGCACGCGCACAGCTACACACGCATGTGTACACACAGGCACACAGCTACACACACGCACACACACACAGCTACG